ATTCCCCAGTTGGATGGGAATGTGAAATCAACAATGAGCTATGTGTTCATCAGAGTTCTCCCGAGAAATAGAACCAACAGGAGAGTGAGCAAGAAAGAGGAATTATTACAGGCAATTATTACAGAGGCTGAGCAGTCCAGAATCTGCAGTGTGCAAGTGAGAGAACGAGGAGAGCTCAGGGTGTGCTTCATTTTTGAGTCCAGACATCCAAGAATCTTGGAACTGAGGCGAGCAGATAATGTTAGTTTCAGTCTGAGGTCAAAGGCCTGCGAAGCTGAGGTGCTGGTGTCCATGGGCTGGAGAAATTGGCTGTCCCAGATGAAGCAGAGAGTAAATTTACACTTCTTTCACCTTTTGATTCTATCCAAACCCTCAGCAGACTGGCTGATGCCACCCGCAAACCCACCCGCAAAGCCATTGTCTTTCCTCAGTCTACCAACTCAAATGTTAATCTCTTTGGAAAACATACCCAGAAGAAATGTTTTACCAGCATCCTTAGTTCCAGTCAAATTGACACATAAAACTCAGTCAACACTGGCTATTTTGTAGAAAATAAACATCTGTGCTACTGCTTGCACGCCAGCATTGGTGAACCGAGGGCCTTTCCACTTATAAGAGATCTAGAAGTGGGTGTTATGGGTGGGGTGGGGACAATTTCACCTGAGAACGATATAGGGTTGGGGGCACAAACATGTGACGACCGAAGTGAGCAAGGACTGCAGAAATGGGCTCAACTGGAGCATCTGGTCCATACAAGGGAGCAAGAAGGAACCCACCTTTAAACTCTCTCCTCTCGGGCCTCCCCGGTGGCGCAGCGGTTGAGAGCTGGGTTGTAAAGCTGCCAGCGGCCTCTTCGGCGCCGGTTCGATCCCCGGCTGCTCCCCGGCCACCAGAGGAGGGTCCCACATGGCGCGCAGACCTCTCCTGCCGCCCGCTGCTCCCCTCAGTAGTGTACTTCGGTCCTTCTGCCTGCTCTGCTCCCCGCTCTGGCTCTGGTGGATTCTCTCACCCTCTTGCGCTTCTGACTGTACCCAGTGCTTGTATAAATAAAAAAAAAAAAAAAAAAAAAAAAAAGCTCTCTCCTCTCCACTGTCAAAACTGTCAAAAAAAAAAAAAAAAAACATACACTAGGTATATATCATATACGTTGCTGAACAACTTCATGTGTGATGTTCTGTGCAAGTTAGCTAAAGAGATAATTTATGTACATGAAAAGAAAAAACCCACAAGGCAGAATGTTCACTGAATATGACATCATCAAAGCATAGCTGTTCACTCAACCAAGTCTTACTGAGATTCTTCATACCATGCTAAGCCCTGAGGATAGAGGGATAAATAATACAAAGGGAAATCACTTCCAGGTGAGGATGGTCTTCCAGAACTAATCTGGTGGTCTAGTTGAATCTGATAAGCATGAAAGGAGGAAGCAGCAGTTCCACCCTGTGCTGTGACTGACCCCTGGAACCCATAGCCTGTGAAACATCCCAGTTGAATTGAGGGCAAAATGGGTAATGAATGGGCCAGACTGGGAAGTTCTGGGTGAGAGCAAATAAGCAGATAAAGCTGGATGCGCAGCTGGAAGCTGACTTAGCATCTTAGATGGCACCCAAAGGCCTTTAAGCTGTAAGCTGTGGGAGTCTCAAGCTTTGAGGATTTCTAACCTATCGTGGGGCTTCAGGTTCTCCTGCATTTCCAAAGCAAGTGACAAATGAGCCTGGATGGGGCTGGGCTTTCAAGTGTGGGGACTGTGTTCTAGGAAGGAGAATTTGGAGTCCACTCAGCTAGTGCCTGTCTCTGAGTAACTACTCTCCAAGTGCTCCTGCCAGCATGGACTCTCGCCAACGCTCATCATGACTGGAGGGGCCCGCGTGTTCTTGAACAGCTCATTTGCATCATTCCTTGTTCCTTCCAGCCAGATTAGAAGAGACAACAGAAAGTCCCTGTCACATTAACCTCAGCTCCCGCTGCCAACTGAGAGAGGATGAGGAAATCCTGAGGTCCACGGAACAATCTGAGGGCACTGCCTGAGTCCCATGAGTGCTCAGATGGGGTCTGGGCGTGGTGACCATTGACATAGCTCCAGCATACACAGGTGCCTGAGATGGGTGTGTGTGTCTGTGTGTCTATGTATGTGCGTGCATGTGCGTGCACTTGCTTGTGCACAACAGTCTCCTGGGCACAAAGGTGGGTAACCCACACCCGTGTCCCAGCTCAACAGGCAGCAAAGAATTGCAACAGGCTTTGCCTTGGAGGGTGCCGACCAGCACATCTCCTTGTGAGAAGGTTGTCATCCTCATGAACCCTGATGTTGTGAACACATTGTCCCATATGCTCCCTCTTTTCAGGGACAATTCTGTACAGCTGAACTCAAATGCCAAAGCAGCCTAGGCTTTAATCTGTGTGGCTAAGTTTTTATCAACACCTCGGTAACCAATAAATGTATGTTGATTTAACAGTGAAGGGGTCACAAAAAGACAAACCCAAGGGGATTTGTAGTGCACGGAATTAATGAGGAGTTCTCCCATCCCTTTCCTTGGGTGGTGGTGGTGATGGTAGCAGTGTTGGGATTGATGGGGAAGGAGAGAAGTTGTGGATATGTTTAGTCAGAATCTGTGGGGCAATAGCAAGGAGGCACTAATATTTCCTAATGCACCCCAGGTGAAGTCAAAGATTGAGGACTAACTGCCCAGGACAGACACACAAAGGGAAGACTTAGTTCAAACTGAAGAAAGTACCTAGGATGGGGCCTCCCCGGTGGCGCAGCGGTTGAGCGCTGGGTTGAGAAGCTGCCTGCAGCCTCTGCTGCGCCGGTTCAATCCCCGGCTGCTCCCCGGCCACCGGAGGAGGGTCCCGCATGGCGCGCAAACCTCTCCTGCCGCCCGCTGCTCCCCTCAGCAGTGTACCTCGGTCCCTCTGCCTGCTCTGCTCCCCGCTCTGGCTCTGGTGAATTCTCTCACCCTCCCGCGCTTCTGACTGTACCCAGTGCTTGTATAAATAAATAAATAAATCTATAAAAAAAAAAAAAAAAATCTCATTTCATTTAAAAAAAAAAAAAAAAAGAAAGTACCTAGGATGGCCAAGCCTACATTTGTGTAGAAAAGTTAGATCCTCTTTGGAACCCAGATTCTCACCTCATTCTGTTGGCTACATCCCACATTACACCCCCATATTCTAGTTTGCCCCTTAATATGCCTGTTGCTCACTAACAGATATTCCCTGAGGAGATTTTCCCAGTTCTAGTTAAGAAAAAACTATGATCACCACCCTCTGGACCCCACCATCTCCCACTCTGTGTACAGCAGGACCCTCTCCCAGCCTGGAAGAAGTAAGAAATGTTTTTTGGTGGGGAGTGGGGGGTGGATGGTGGGGAGTAGAGGGTGGGGAGTGGGGATGGGGAGGGATTCTTTCCAGATATGGGCAAAGTGGGAACAAATTCAGCATGTGGTGTCCAGGCACCAGGATGAGCTCACAGGCTGGGCTGCAGCCCTGCCAGGCTACCCAGCTTTGGGAGTCTGTCAGTGTAAATTTCCTGTGGCAGCTCTGGCCTCTGCTGCAAGGGCGGCAGCAGCCCCCTGGAGGAAAGATGAGATTTAAATTGGTAATAAAGCACTGCACCGAATTGGACTTTGACCTTATTCAGAATCCCATTGGCCAGTGTTCCCTGATCCTGCCACCGCCCCCCACCCCTCTCACAACCCTGCTCAATTGTTCCCTTGAGTCAATGCCTGCTATCTAAGGCAGGCAGGCAGGCTGTCACCAGCTGCTGCCTCTCTGGCTGCCTTCCACCTGGCTAGTTCAGAAAGCCCTGGATTCAAACGAGCTTTGCCTTCCCAGACTCTCTTGCTACCTCTGAGCCCAGAGGGAGACAAGAATGGCTGGATGAGGCCTCTTGCCCCAGCTGGGCCTGCTTGCAGGGCATGGGAAGAGGTGAGGGCAGCCCCAGCATACTACCCTTATGCATTCTTGGTTACCAGAGCGACTCCCAGACAAGGCCTGGAATGGCCAGTGTGGGCCCAATGCCTGCTAGGGCCTTGGAGGCAGCAAAGCACTGACATTTGTTTTTGCCAGCTCCTTCCTCAGCCCCAGAACACCCTCTGCTTGTTATGAAACACCAAGTGATTGCTCATCTCTTCTGCCTGGAAGGTCTTCCATGTTTTTTTTTAATGTGTTTAAATTCTGCCCTTCCTTCCAGGGCTGGGAAACCATTCCACCAGAGAGCACCCCTATGGGCCTGCAGCCCTGTCATCCTTCTCTGAGGTTCTCAATTCATGAGCTTCTCAAATCAGCATCTGGGGTATTTACTGACATATCCATTGGCCTTGTTAGCTCACTGTTTCAAGTCTCTTCTCCCACAACAAGAGCACAGGCTGCCAGGGTCTATGCATCACCTAGATTGGCGCTTAGAGGATCTCCTGGGAAGAAAGGAATGTAAGGACAAATGAAGGAAGAAATGGGTTGCTTTGGTCTGAGCAGTGTTTTAATACACCCAGAATTCTTCCCAATAAGAGTGTTCCTCTTCCCATCAACTGTTATTGAGCCAAGTCACTGGTAGAAACTTTGCTTCCAATGCCTTCTAGAACCCAAAGCGGCAAGGACATGTTTCACCAGGCAGAACCAGTTAGCCAGAACAGCTGGAATTCCATCAACATGCAGGACACCTTGTCCTCTTTGATCTAACTGGGAAGCTAGAATGCGCCCATTTGAAGCTTTGCTTTCCTGTCAGCGGGCACAGTCATGCCTATGAATGTGAAGCTGAGAGCAAATGGACCCCGGCCAGGTTGATCAGAGCTCACTTCAAGGACAGAGGAAACAGGGTTGTTGTGTGGAAGCAGGGAGGAGGCTGGGTAGCCGAGCAGGGGCGGGAAAGAGCACTCCCTACCTCCTCACCCAGCAGACTCCATCTGTCCAAGTCTGCTTCCCCCTCCCGATTAGCAAGATCAGAGAGTGGGGCCAGGAAGAGGATTGGAGATAGGGGGTGTGGTGGAGGATGGGTGGTTACTCAAGTGGTTCATCTGAGAGGCACATCAGAGTCCAAGAGGCCCCTTGGCTGCACTATCCACCCGAAGGGGAAACTGAAGGAGAGATCCAGAAAGCTGGCAGCATGGAAGACCAGACAGGCAAGAAAGAAGATCTGGGAAGGCATGTGAAGTATGGTCTGTTATATCATTTTTCACAGCGGGCCTGGAACAGGGGGGGATGTTACAAGCTAGGATGCTGGGCCCAGTTTGGAAGTTGCCTATGCGAGAGTCCAGCAAGCTCTGTAAACCCTCCTGTTCTGCGGGTTCCTCTAGCCTCTGTGTGAGGAGGGCAGGGAAGCTCTGACAAAAAGAGGACCTGTGCTTGTCTTCTGGGGCAGAGGAGGGCCTGGGAGACATCAGCACCAAGGAAGGGAAGTGGCACCATCTGGCCTATAGGCAAGCAACCAGATGTGGAGCCAGAGCCCAGGTGTCTGAGGAAAGAAAGTGGAGAAGGCATTCCAGGGTTCCCGCAGGGGCATGAAGGCCCACGCCTGATTGCCCAACAGCCCCCGCCCCCAGGCCCGCCCAAGCACAGTGTGGGCCATCACCGGCACTCAGCCCTGTCATCAATGATAGGAAGCAGAGTTTGCCAATTCCTTTTTTTTTTTTTTATGACCCTTGCATGTCCCAGGGACGGGAGCAGACCCCAAGGAGGAAGCAGGCGCTGCGGGTTGGCTCCTGTTCACACACCTCTCAGCTAACTCAGCCTCTTTCTTTCAAGAGGAACTTTATACCATCCATTATATGGGGCCCTCCTCGTCTCAAAACTGTAGTCCACAGGGGAGGTGTCCAGGTTAGACACCTCACCACGGCCAGGTGTATTTCTCCTTCCACTCCGCAGTGGCCCCGAGGACCATGGGAGGAAGGGCAGGCAATCAAGGACTGGAGTTGGCAGACATGGAAGCTAATAAAGCCGTGATTCTCCAAACTCGGTAAGTGAGTTGAGTAAGAATTTCTTTCATGGTGGGGAAGGTAGGTCAGCCGCTAGAGCTTCTGTTGACCACACACTCCTGAGCAGGCACACGCAGTGTGGCGTTGAGGCTGAGAAGCAATAAAAAGCCACAGTCAGAGAGGGAACAAAAAAAAATAAATACCGCATTTTAATTATTCTTAATATTCTTAAATATGATTTAGGACAAATATTCTTTAAGAATATTTGAAAGGGGGCCAATTTGGAAGCCAGTGCTCCATCTTCAGTCACTCCATGCTGGGTTAGGACCATGGTTCCCGTACCTGGGTGTCTGGCAGAATTACCTGGTGAATTCAGATTCTCTGGCCCCACCACGGTCCCCCTCCCCTTTAATCAGAATCACAAGGAGTGGAGATATGTGTGTGTGTGTGTGTGTGTGTGTAATAGCACCCCTGGATTCTCATGGTACACTCCCATGTGTGGAACTGCTGGATTCAAATGCAAAATTGGTGATGGTCTTGTTCAAACTCACGGGCAGCCCTCTAAGGACAGACTCTGGCCCAGAAGTTGGAAAGGGTAAGCCAGATCTACTCCCAGAGAAACACAACAATCCCTGAGCATTCTGCTTGCACAGCAGATCCAACCCCAGATTGACTTCATTATTCCATAGGACCTCTTTTTTAGTACTTTTTTGTTTATTTTCACAAAATCAATTATTACAAATATTGGATGATGGAAACATGTATGCTGTGGTCCTTTCTGTTTAACTTGTTTGTCAACTAACCTCACCCCCAGAGATGGTTTGGGAACCCCTCACGCACGGCACATTCAAGACAAACCTGAGGTCACTGAGACATTATTTGGAGTTTCTGTTTGTCTGAACTGTTCTGCCTTCTACTACAAATGATTTAGAAAGTCAGGCTTGCTCCAGTAACCCTGGACAAAGTGGCTGTGACTTCACTTTCAATTTTGTTTTCTCCACCTAAATATAAGGGCACAGAAAAAAGAGCAATGCTCTTTGTGGCTTATACTGAACCATAAGTGGCATTGACCACTGATTATCTTACTCCCTCATGAACTTTCCTGGGTCTGAGTCATACACAGAAAGACTATTCTGAGAAGGGGGAAAAGTAATTCTTGAAAGGAATTCATTCCTTTCTGGTTTCAGGGGACAATACAATAGAAGGGCCCACTCTTACCCACACAGTCAGGGTGGAGAGCTGTTGGAAATGGTTGGGAAAGCCTGTGAAATCAGGGTCTGCAGTGCAAAGGCTAAGGCCATTTGAGGTGGGTCGTCAGGTAGGATCCTGTATTCTGGATTCCTGAAGAGCTATACCCAGGGGAAAGGTGGACAAGAAAAATAACTGCCCCCAAAGCAAGGAAGATTATTTGCCTCAAGGCTAGCACTGAATCTAAAGGAAATCATCTCCCCTGAGAAAGAGCAGGAAGGAAGGAGGGAGGGGAGAAGGAAACTGGAAAAGTGTATCCAGTGTTCTTTATATGACAACAGACACTCACACCCATTGCATTTTTAATCCCACAATTTTTCCCACTTTTCCAGAAGCGTAAACTAACACATGAGGGCTGATACTTAGGGCGTGAGATTCCAGATCCTGTGTTCAGACCCCAACTGCCCTCATCACCCACTGCCTTGGAATGGTTTCTCACATGTTCTCCTGCAACAACACCTTCTTTCCATTCATCTGGGATCATTCAGCAGGAGGATCTCAGTACATCTAGGTCAGGAACAAACACTCAGGCTGGGGGGAAGTGGGTGGGAGTGGGGTGAACTTCAAAAAAGAATAAGATACACACCTGTAATGTTTAATCTGATGTGTAAATTTGGCTAGGCCGCCATACTCATACTTGGCCAAACATTATTCTTTCTGTAAAAGTGTGTTTTAAATAAGACTCACATTTAAACCAGTACACTAAGTAAAGCAGTTTGCCCTCCATAACATGGGTGGGCCTCATCCAACCAGTTTTCGGCCTTAGTAGGAAAAAAAATGACCAACTCCCCACTCCACCCCCAGGGAAGAGAGAAGTATGCCTCAGAATGAACTGCAACTCTTCCCTGCTGGCCTACCCTGCAGATTTTGGACTTGCACCTCCACAAAATAAATAAATAAAAATATATACATATATAAATATATATAAATACATAAATACACACACACACACAGAGCCCAAGAGACAAGGACACACATTCATACCCTAGGCCCACACCAGCAAGGAAACGCTTTCCCCTTTCATAGGGTAGACTGTCACAGTAACAAAAGTAACACTGACCCAGGCAGCAGTTTCTATGTGACTGTTATAAAGGGCACAAAGATGCCCATGAGGTAGAGACTCTTTCTAATTTATCACAAAGTTGAAGTATCTCAGTGCTGAAAGAGACCCAGAATCATCTAGTCCAATCCCTCTGTTTTACCTTTGGAGAAACTGCCTCAGGCAGTGTAGCCTGACAATGGAAAAAGTTAGGACTAGATGCCAAGGATAGCATTCCAGACAAGAAGAGTGTGGGTGTGAGTGATTGTTTGTGCATGTGTGTGCGACACAATCATGGAGGAAAGTGAGTAGCTGGAACAAGGAACTATGGACTGCAGAAAGATTGGAAATGAGGGCAGGTGACTGGAGAGCGTGAGATACTGAGCACAAGGTGTAGAATCAGCCCTCCAGATTTAGGGGAGCTTCCAAATACCTTTGGCTCAGGGAGGGACACGATGGAAGAGTTCTTACCAGAACACTGCAGTTATAGGAATAGTGTAAAAGAGAAAAACATGGGAAGGAAAACTCCTTAAATCCAAACCTTCGGGCAGAAGTCTTTTTCTAGAGACAGAATAATGGAGTTAAAGCCAGAGTAGATGAATTACTGGAATAAACTAGAAAATGATCATGGGAGTAAGAGGAAAAGCAGATGGAGAATGAACTCAAAAAGTAGAGATCATGAACCAACCTGCCAAGAGATCTCCCAGCTGTTCCAAACCAGGAAGATCTTGGGGAGGGGAGTTGCTCGGAAACCACGAGGAATATGAGAAGCTGTTCCACCAAAGCAGAGTGAAGTCTCTGTTCATCCTCAGGATCTGCTTTGCCCACCAGGGTGAGGAGAGCTGGCTCACATCATCTGGAACCTCCCTCTGCCCTCATCCTCCATCACTGGTCTCCCACCCCTTCCAGGGCTTCCGGGGTTTGCTTGCCTAGAGTTTACTCCCTGGGAGATGGTGGGCATCTCTTCTTCTCTTCGGGAGTGTTAGCTCCTCTCCTTGGCTCTGGCACAGGAGTGGTGACACCATCTACACACCTAACTTCTCCTTCTGGAATGTCTCCCTGCCTAGCCCTTCCCTTGTCACCACTTCTTGTCAAGGGATTTCAGCTCTTGGTTCAAGTTGGCTCTGCTGAACCACCTGACCCAAGTCTAACCTAAAGAAAATAGTTCATCTTCAGGGCCTCCCTGGTGGCCTAGGGGTTAAGTGTCAGCGCTATCACTGCTATGACCTGAGTTCGATCCCTGGCCAGGGAGCAAACCCACATATGGTGCAGCAGACCTCTCCTATCTCACCCGCTGCTCCCCTCAGCAGTGTATTTCAGTCAATCCACCTGTTCTGCTCCCCACTCTGTCTCTGGTGAATTCTATCACCTCCCATACCTCTGGCCTACACTCCAGTTCTTCTACACAAATAAGTAAGTGTACATCCTCAAGGGCATTCTCTGAGGTGCCATCTGGTGAGGAACCTGACAGAATCCTGCCCTGACAGTTCTTCATGACTAAAATGCTACAGACATAGACAAAGCATGTCATAGCTAAAAAGAGAAACTGTGCTCTATTTCAGTCTTTCTCAACCTCTCCTCAAAATTTTTTTCTGAGTGAGAGAGAGAGAGAGAGAGAGAGAGAGAGAGAGAAACAGAACAGAAGATGACAGAAAGAGAAACAGAGACCCAGGAAAACTGGGAACATAGGTGGTGTCAGAGAATTTCAGAGAATAGTGGGAGGATTTTTCACCAGGAAGAAAAGGTCAAGTGAAGAAAATCAATTCTGCCTGGAAAATAAACGTGGACTATAAAATTTTGGTGCACCCAGAGAGCAGTTATGGTCCAGTGGCATTTGGACAAGCCAAACAGCAATGAGTCCAGGCATGAATAGGAGGGGAGTAAGCAGTAAAGAGGGCAAGTTTAGAAAACACCATCCAGAAGTTTTGAGAAAGAGAATGATAGGGCAAGTGAAGGCAAGAAAGGACGCTTTGATTTTTTTCTTCTTAATGAACGAGACTTGAATGTATGAAACAAACTTAGAAAAAAAATTATAAACTAGCCATGGGGGGGGGAGTAAAAGACATACAGGAGGGAGGGAAACATTTAATGGGATCAGTCAGTTGTGCAATCCAGGGCACAGGCATTAAGAGTCAGAAAAGAAGAGAAACTGGACTCAAATTCCACTGTGACATGGAGAAGGCTTTACAAAGTATGTGAACAAACATAGGAAGGGTGTGAGCAAACAAAGAAAGGGAAAGGAAAGGGCTGTTTCTTTTCTTTTCTTTTCTTTTTTTTTTTTTTTTTTTTGAGGCACCGTCAGGGGAGGTGAGCTACTCCAAAGCAGAGGAAGGTGACACACTTGGAATCCCTGGGGTACTGGCTTCCAAGGCAGGTAGTCACCCCCGCATGCATTTGAGATGACCTGTTCAGTAACAGCTTGTTGTCTCAAAAGAGACTGGCCTCCTGCCCAGACTGACAACATGATGATCTCAAGCTCCCAGCTCATGGTGGCAAAAATGTGGGGCTCTGTGGAGACATAAGACCTGAGGGGCAATTCTGCAGCCTGGGCTGGGGAAGCCACCCACCACCACTTAAGACTTCTGGGACTCTCCCAACAACCCCTATTTTAATTGATTTAAGGTACTATAACATAATGCCTCAGACTGAGCAGAAAAACCAGAAATTTATTTCTCACAGTTCTGATGGCTGAAAGTTCAAGTTCAGGATGGCTAGGTGAAGACCCTCTTCTGAGTTGCAGAATTTTCAATGTGCCCTCACATGGGAGAAGGGGCATGGCTGCTCTTTAAGGTCTGTTTCATAAGGGCACTAATCCCATTCAAGAGAACACCACCCTCAGGACCTGATCATCCTCAAAAGGGTCCTTTAGCCCCACTTAATACTACTACATTGAGGATTAAGTGTCAACATTTCAATTGGGCACACCCACTTGGACAACAACAATACCCCAACTCTTCACACTGTGCAGGAACCGCCCTGTGGTGGCCATCCTTATGGGTCATCATTGCATGTGGCTATATTCAATATCTTTTCTTATAGGTTCCTGAAGAGCAAGAACTCTCTGTTGCTGATCCTTGGACCCCTGTCCAAAATTATTCTCCGCATGAAACTGATCGTTTATTGGCTAAATTCCAGTGTTGGTGATGACATTTGAGCTCCACCAACATTTAGAAATGGCCCCCAGAGAGCCACCACCCCCTCCTTTGACAGTGGCCTGCTTCAAATAAGAGGGTTTTAACAAGATGATGTGCAGGGATTTATAAACCACCCACCGGCTGTCCCACTCCCAGCAGCCAGATCAAAAAGGAGAATTACACATCTTCATCCCTTCCTAACTCAGCTGTCTCCTGATCAAAAGAGAATTTCTAGGAGTTTGTAAAATCCCACATCCACAGCATTCATTGTCCAATGCACAAATCTCTGGTCTTATTAATCCAGCCATGGGGATTGCTACAAAGAGACAGGCTGCATTCCAATCGTGTCATCACTGGGGAAACAATAACATGCCTCACGGGCTGTAAAGGCTATAACTGTCATAGAGATAAAGGCCAGCCTCTGGTGATTCCCAACAATGGCCCTCTGGGGACTCGGCGTGCAGCCGGAAAGCTTGGTTTGTTCATGGCAGAAACCCAGAAAGCGTTTCCAACTTTGAAGCCCCTGTTGGCTCTGGTGCAGGGCAAAATGGGCAAGAGAGGCAAAGGCAGCAGTTTGTGAGAGCCCAGGACCACAGAATCCCACACAGATTGCAGGCCGGTGTGGCATGATTTAGCAGCTATCTGCAGGAGGGATAGCCGGGTTGGTTTGTGTTCAAAAGAACGATCCCGTAGCTCAGGAGCATGTGTGACAGCCTCTAGGGCTCTTTCACATTTTTTTTTTTTAAGATTTATTTATTTTTATACAAGAACCGGGGTATAGGCCAGATGTGCGGTAGGGTGAGAGGATTCACCAGAGACAGAGCAGGGAACAGAACAGGCAGACTGACGAAATACACTGCTGAGGGGAGCAGCGGGCGAGACAGGAGAGGTCTGCTGCGCCATGTGGGACCCTCGCTGGCCGGCTGGGATCTAACCCATGCTGCAGAGGCTGCGGACAGTGTCACAGTGCGGCGCTCAACCGCCTGCGCCACCAGGGGAGGCCCTCTCTTTCACGTTTTTATCTCATTTGCTCCTCAACGCTAGCTGGGAGGGGCAAGGACCGGATCTTACTTGGTCCTCTCACAGTGTCATAAGGTAGAATGTGTCCCTTTCAAAACAACAGGCAGACAACTGAGAGCCCATGTCTTCCATGAGTTTACACAACTAGTAGGAAGCAAAGTCAGGATTCCAAGTTAGCTGTATTCTTCAACATCTTCTCTAAGGCGCCAGGCTGGACCCCCTCCAGCACTGGGGGCCCTCCAGCACACCCCTCTGCCTCACTGCAGACCCCTGTGTCCAACTTCCCATGAGTTAGGTCCATCTGTGGGCTCCTCAAACTTGTGTCAGAACAGTCTTCATCCTCAACCCCATGGCCTTCTGGTCTGCCCTGTTTCCTTGCCCACGGTGCCAACATGGACCCAGGCTCCTGCCCTAGACATTGGGCCCCCTTTAGTGCCCCCTTTCTCTTCCTGATCCTCACCTACCCACACCCCCATCCCTCAACTGGTCTCATTCCTCAGCAGTGTTGATGCCTCCCCTCTCAGCGTGTCCCTCCAGTTGGTTTCCACACTGTGACACTCCCTAAAACACAGATCTGACCACATTCCTTCTTACAAAAACCCCTCCCTGCTTGTCCAGCAGCCTCAAGTCATCCTCCAAACACTTCGGCTATTGTTAGGATGGGCTGGGATACTGATTTTTTTGTCACGTTTTACTTTTAAAATGATATGCATGTGTTACTTTGATAAAAATTAAAATTAACAGTAAAATGTAATGCCAAAAAAATACTCTTCTCCTGAAAACCACTTTAAATACAAATGCAAGTGATTCTGTGTCCAAATTCCTTTAGGATCCAGCCAATTGCCTCTCTGTTTTACTTTCTGCCCCTCTTCCAGCCAACTCAGCCACCCAGGAAGGCCCCAAACTCTTTTCTACCATGTGATTTTGTACATACTTTTCCTTTTGTCTATAACACCAATTGATAAACCTCTCCTCAGTCATCATGTCAAATGTCACCTCCTCCAGGAAGCCTTCCTAGAGGTGTCTCCCCTCACTCCTTCCCTGACACATTTCTGTACCCCTCTTCAATGCTCCCAGAGTATTTCGATACATTCCTCTATCCACCATTGGTATGTAACTGTTCACTCAATTCTTACCCCTGCTCCCTAGGCCACACACACTGCATTCCAGATGGTGCCTCATTGATCTTTGCACAGAGCTTGGCAAAGAGCTTCTTTAACAAACATTGATTGATTGGTTGATTAATTCATTAATTAAGTATAAAACAAGGTCTCCTGTGAAGAAACTGCAGTCCACATGGGGAGGAAAACCAATCATGGGTGAGGTGATGGAAGATATTCATGCCAAGAGCAAGCATGTTTTCCTGACCACAAAGAGCTGTAGAAATTTGGAGGCAGGAGATCCTGAGAGCACTTGAGGGGCTGGGGTAGCAGGAGCTTTGCCCCCTCCAAGAGAAGGGGGTTCATCCAGCACAAGCTTGGGCCATGGCTCCACCTACACCTGGTTTGTTTTCCACCAGCATGAACATTTGAGTGAGAACTGGTGCCAATAAGCACCCAGGGTCCCTTCCAGGTAATTAGCATGTCTGGGGGGGGGGGAGGCCTGAATTGCACAGTCTGGAATGTAGACAAAGAGGATCTGTTCCAGTTATGCTAATTGCTGCCTCGCTCCCACAGAGGATGGGACTGAGAGATTCCAGGAGGCAGTGAGGCAGAGGGGGAATTCCTCAGCTCACGCAGCAGCCTGCATCCAGGGAGGGTGTCTGCCAGCTTTGCCAGTGAAAGCTGGAGGCAGAGAGCATTCATGCACCCAACAGGCTGTTGCTGAGGAAGCACAATTTGAAGACCAGGCAGCTTCCTACTCAGGAACTCATAAAGCTTAAAATTCCACGTTAGAAATTCTGTCTTCCTTTTCTCTGTCTTCCCAACGTAATTATAGCATACTTTTATGTTGAGTCCGTAATCAAAGTTTACACTATTACAGATCTATTAATATTGTCTGCAGCTCCATCCTGTAGTATTTTTTAGAAAGTAAAAAGTTGTACAAGAAATATGATCATTATAATGAATATCTTATAATTGTGTTATTTATTATATTGTTAGGGAGGTGCAGAGGATCCTGGAGATCCCAGGTCACGAGTCCACCCCTGCCACAGATGTACCTCATCTGTATCAGCTGTTGCCAGTGGCCCTGTTTGGATCTGGTCCTTCCTTCTGCCACCCTCCTGGGTTGGGGACAAGGCCATCCTCCTTCAGAAAGCACCCCCCAGGGGAGCACTCCTGTGTGTACTCCTCAATATTACTTTGCTTTTTTTTTTTTTTTTTTCATTTTTCATTAGAACCATCCTATTAGGAATGAAGTGGCTTCTCTTGGTTTTGACTTGCCTTTCTGTCCTGGCTAGTGAATTTGAATATCTCTTTTGTACTTATTGGCCATTTGTATATCTTCCTTGGAACAATGTCTGTTCAAATCTCTTCCCCATTTTTTAGTTGGGTTATTTGTCTTTTTGTTGTTAAGCTATAAGAACCTGGAAGTCTGTCAAAAACACCCATAGAGAAGCCCCATGTTTAATTCCATCAGAACACTGGATTGTACCTGGGTATCGATGCGTTTTAAATTTCCCAACGTGCCATCAGAGTTGAAAATCACTGGTGTAATGGCCAAGCAGACACAGACACGCTGGGAATGTTTGCTGAGTTCATGATCTCATCCAACTGCCTTCAGGACTTACGTGTCTGCTCATCATCAGACATTAAGTGCCAAATGTGGTGCTCAAGGGAGGAAAGGAGAAAACCAAGATTTAGGTGAAGATGAGCAAGACACGATTGTTGCTGTGTTCGATGGCTCGGCTAGTGAGAAGCTGGCCCCTAAACAAATAAGTACAATACAATGTCTGAAGTGCGCAAGACAAAGGAGGACCACGGGTCAAGGGGACCCCTAAAAGGAGTAACTCCACACCTTCCTGAGTGTACAGTGTCGAATGTGGTTTCGTGGTCACCCGGCCCTCAGAGGTGGTCCCCTTGTAGCGCCCTAGGGAAGCTTGTTAAAAATGTGGGTTCTAAGGCCCCACCCGAGACCTAACAAGTGGTTATGAACCCCAGGTGGTTCATAAGTACTTTGAAGTTGGATATGCACTGATCTAACTGATGTTAATTAAGAAGCATCCAGAAAGTCCACCCACATAAAACAAAATAAAACAAAATTTAAAATTCTACCACAGTGAGGTATGGGGTCATTAAATTGTTCCTTTAAGTAACTGACTTGCTTTCTTAAAATGACGCACTTGAAGTAAGTTGGAGTCATACATCTCTTGGCATGAATTTGCTTATCAGGATGTTGTAGTCTTCATCATTCTCTTTCTGAAGATTTTTCTACCAGCCAAATTACTAAGGAACAGGAGTTGGGACTAAATTGGAGGTAACATTGGCATTTGGGGCACAAGCACAGATAAACTGAAGTGCAGAAGATGGTTTCACAATTTCTCTTAAAACCAGCTCTTGCTCACACTTTTATACCAGATTTGTAGAGGCAAGTGGCTCTGCAATGCAATGCATTATCCTGTCTACCTCTATTCACCATTTAACACAGTGAGGAAAACCTGATGTGGCCTCACAGAGACCTGGAGGAATCCCAGCACCACCTACAGCTCAGACCTTTGACAGTTCCTCAGCAAAACATAACAATTTAGTGTCTCTAATAAATTAATTTTTTTTTGCCTTTGCTTTCAAAAAGAAAACAAAAACAAAAACAAGAATCCTGTCAGTCACCTCCACGACTTTGGGTGGAAAGAAGCTCACAGAAGGAGAGAAGGCAGCAGGGACATTCCCTTGGACCACTTACTAGATTCAAAACCTCTAGTAAGTGCCACTGTGCTGTAAAATCTTGGCTAAGTCACTTGTTTTTTTCTGTGCTTCATTTTTCCTGTATTAATTATTTCCCACCTTTCGTACTGGAATCACAGGACCATTCATTAAACCATTATTAGAGTATCTATTTGTTCAATGTGATTTATTCTAGAACAAAGGAAGGGAAAATTGGCATCACTGTATAAAGGAAGCCAGAGGATAGAACGGGAGACTCGTTCAGCATGTCCACACTGGCAGCGCCTGGGAACCAGCATTTAGCACTGCAACCTTCCTCATAAAGTGGCTTATGAGGCTGCTCTCAGGGTCTGAGCTTCCACTTGCAAAGGATACCTGATGCACAGCTTGGGGTAGGGAGGAAGACACCTCCCACCTGTAAGCCCAGGGGAACCCTAGCTGCACCAGCTGACCTGACACATGAGTGACCACAACTGGGGGACTTTGCAAGTGAAGTATCCAACTTGGACACAGTCCCCTTGTCAACCTTTCCCCCTTCTCAGTTCTAATATTTCTGCTAAGCCAATATGGAAGAAATCTTTTAAAGATAGGTCTGAACGTATGCAATGCAATGCATTATCCTGTCTATCTACATTCGCCATTTAACACAGTGAGGAAAGCCAGCAGATATGGCCTCAGAGAGACCTGGAGGAATCCCAGCACCACCTATAGCTCCGACCTTTGACAATTCAGTCTCTCCAAACCTCAGTTTCCACATTTGATATAAAGAAGAGGGAAACTCCACTCACAGCAGAGAGGGTTAAATGAAATGGGACCGGAAGGGCCTGGTTTCTCAAGGCTCACTTTTGCCTTCCAGAGCCTTCTGGGCCCCGCCTTGCTGAGCAATAGTTGGAGCAGGTCCAGGCCTCACCTCACAGCTCCCTCCCCCACCATGGCACCCCAAGTAGCAGCCCTGCCCACCCCATGAGGAAGTTTGACTGGTGGAGCCTCTACAGCACATTCCGCAGGAATGCAGACAATTCTGCTATCCTACAGCCAGCCAGTTGGGCAATTCTGGAAATCTTGGTGACTGCCAATCTCTCACTTACCTGAAGCACAGGAGAGATTATTTCTGAATTATCCATTTCTTGTGAGGAAGTTTTGAAACACAGGTGGCCCTACATTATGCTAAATGAATATCCAGGTTTATACAGAGAACAGACTCACCGCAGGCATCTTCTGAAACCTAACGTCTTCTGGTGGTTTTTAGGGAAGGAAATAACATGAGGTTTAGTGTTTGTAGATCCAAGTTTCTCCGTTTACTGAGGGGCCCTACACTTAACCTCTTTGACCTTCAGTTTTCTCTTGAGTCAAAAGGAGATTTGCCTCTGTTATGCCCATAACAATGCCTACCACATAGATGGTTGGAACACAGGTGAAAGGGCTTTATAATAAAATTCACTTGTTAGTCATAATTGTATAATTAAGCTTACAAAAATGTATATTTGCTTCATAAAGTAAAACTTATTTATGTGAGCTTTTAAAGACTCTATTCCAACTTTTTTAAAAACATGAGATTGTTGGGGGAAAAGGATGTCCCGAACAAAATCCACAAACAAGTTTTATGGACCCCACCTCCACCCCAGACCAAAGACATCCAAGACACCAAGGACTACAAATCCCATAATATCATCTCCACCGAAGGGAGGTCTGCTGGGAACTAAGGGTGGAGGTCAGCAGCCAGGCTTGATATATAACCAGACATGTGGGCTTTGGGGGTCCTTGATTTTTCACCAGCTTTCAGCATGTTATTGGGGTTCCAGTTCAGTGGCACTGGTAGGATGCATTCACCAATTTCTCTCTCTCTCTCCCTGAGTTTTTCCTTTCTTCATTTCCCCTTTTTGTAAATAAACCCTTTATTACCCTTTATGTGTGTGCCTGCGGTTAAGTCTCATTTCAAGTCCCTTTTAAGTGCACAGGTGAAGACCCACAGTCAGGCAACCCATTTCACACTGAGGTTGCCCTGTAACAGAATGACTGTGTAAGGCACATATTGTTGGGCCAGAGCGGGACGAGATTTATGTCAAGATGGGAGAAGGAATGGTGGCTAACTGCAGCAAAGAAGAGCAACGGGAAGGTCCATTCGTTAAGATCCTGGTTGCCCATCTGTCAGTTCTGATCCCTCTGGCTTCATTAGCATCAATAGGTGGGCAAATCACAATGTCTAATTTTATAGTAGTGTTGGATACTATTTCCTCCCACTTCCCAACTCACGCTCTCAACCCTGTTGAACAGAAGTTGAAAAAAATTACAAAAGTGAGTCTTCTCCACCTTCCTCCAGTGCTACCCTGCGGCCCCTGGTCCCCTGTTGGTGGAGGAGAAGGATGAGCCCATGGAAATTCTAGCACTTTCCCTCCTCCCTCCCATTGCACCATCTACATCTCTGCTGCACAGAGGAAGAGGCAGAAGCCTGCAGGGGCTTTCTCCTCCTCCCAAAGTCAGGGTGTTTTCAAAGGTGACGTGTAAAAGGGAAAGCACCTCACTCATCTCCTCTGAAAGTCAGGGTGGTTTCAAAAGGTGACCTGGCAAGAGAAAGCACCTCTGAGGGAAGTTAGTCACCTTGATTTTAAGCAGAGTCAGAACTGCTAATTGGCACCTTAGTTTCCCCACATCTCCTACCCGAGCTCCATGGACTCACTTTGGTTTCTCTAGCTAAAGCCCTTGTTTTAATTGCAAGCTGATTAGGTAATAATCTTGGTCTTTGGTTGGATTCCCTGGAAGACAGACTCTGTCTGAGATGACTCAAAGGCTATACTTTATGGGGAGCACCCTCATAGTCAATATCTGTAGAGGATTAGGTAGTGGGAGATCAACAAAGGCCTCCACAGAGGCCACCAGAAAGCCCTGCCATTTCTATGGCCCCACATGAGTTATCCTGTCTTGCGGCAAGAAGATAGGAGTTGGGCCTCCCTGGTGGCACAAAGGGTTAGAACGCAGCACTGTAAAGCTATCCGCAGCCACTGTACCACGAGTTTGATCCCCGGTCAGCCAGGGAGCTACCCACACAGCGCAGCAGAGCTCTCCTGCCTCGCCCACTGCTCCCCTCAGCAGTGTATTTCAGTCAGACTGCCTGTTCTGTTCCCCACTTTGTCTCTGGTGAATCTTCTTACCCTCCCGCAAATCTGGCCTGTACCCCAGTTCTTTTATGCATAAATAAATAAATCTTTTTAAAAAAGACCATAAAAATAAATAAACTGTCATCTTGGTGATAAAAAATAAAAGTTTAAAAAAAAAAAAAAGGTTGGAGTTATCACTAATGAGGGATGCATACTACCCCTGGGAGATGGGCTGTGACCTCGAGCCCTAGGGAGGGACTGCGGTTAATGCCTGCAGAGAGGCTCAGGTGAATGTCCTTAACTGTACACACCACCAGCAGCCATTGGGGAGTGGAGCCTAAGTCCTACAGGGGCCTGGAGGCCACACCCACATCCACTACACCATCTAAAGCGATATCTTGACATGTTTTAATCTTCAAAATAAAAAAATACCTTTGTAAAGAAGTAGTGGTACATTTGCTTAAAAGTGTTTTACCCAAAAATATTTTTTATATTCAGGAAGCCACGGTTCCCTGAAGAAATAATTTTGTTAGTAGAGAACCACACTGTCAAATACCAAATTTACTGTAAAAATTGTTTCAACACAAACTAAGAACTAATGAAGCAGATTGCAAACTCAGCATTAAGATATAATTCTCCTCAAGCAGAACAATAGATTCAATGCAATCCCTACCAAAATCTCACCAGGTTTTCTGTTGAAATTCACAAGCTGATTTTAAAATTCACACAAAAATGCAAATGACCTAGAATAACTAAAGCAGCTTTTAAAAAACCAAGTTGGAAAACTATTAGTGCCCAAATTCAAAAACTGATTATAAAGTCACATTAATCAAGAGAAGGTGATATTATTGCTGGCATCCTGTGAAAGTATAATGAAATCGAGTACAGATTACTTCCTGCTAATAAAATTAGCTCTGGTTAAGATAATTGTGCTCCTTGTTGCTCCAGATGACTTCTGCCCTTTGTCACCTGCTTAGATGTATCCTAGCTTCCAGACTTTTCTTGAAGCTCTTCCCCACCCCAACACATGCACACACTGGTATGATATAAGGACAGTCAAGGTTAAGTGGTATTAAACAAAACCTAGAAATACGAGTGCAGAATTGAGTTTACTAGAAAGGGGGGACAGGGGTGGGAACAAAGGGAGCAGGGGGCCCAATGAGTCAAGGGCTAGAGTCTAGAGTGGAGGGCTATGAGTGCTTTGGTGGTAGGTGTGGTGTAGTGACATACATCTGAGGAGGTGTGAACCTAGTCCCCTAAGTTGTTTACAGTGTTGTAAAACCAGTTACCTCAATTAATAGAAATACATAAATAAATACATAAATAAATAAAGATTAAGTGGTATTACTAACAACAGAGGTTTAGAAAAACAGTAACTTAAGCCCTAGTTTGTATTTGCTGTGTCCTTATTCCTTTCACTTGTTTGTTTTTTTTTAAGATTTATTTATTTATGCACCCAAGAACCAGAGTACAGGCCAGAGGTGTGGGGGGTGAGAGGATTCACCAGAGACAGAGTGGGGAACAGAACAAGCAGACTGACTGAAATACACTGCGGAGGGGAGCAGCGGGCGAGTCAGGAGAGGTCTGATGCGCCATGTAGGCAGCTCCCTGGCTGGGGATAGAACTCATGCTGCAGTGGCTGCGGACAGCTTCATAGGTTGCATCTTAATCCCTTGTGCCACCAGGGAGGCCCCCTTTTATTTGTTTATTAAACTTTTACTTTTCAGGGGACACCATCCCCGATTTATAGATGACTCGATAGTTACAAAAGACAGTTTTGACACCTCCCTGCACCTCTCCATGGCAACTACTGCTGTCATGGAAACTTCTGCGGAGAAGAGGGAAAAACAAATGCTGGGGCTTATTCTAGGTTCAGAAACCATGGAATGAAATCAGCTGTGAAAACCAGCAATATTTTAGGGGGCCCTATTAGAGGAAAGATTCCGAGCAACTTTAGCCAAACTTGTAAGATATCCACTTAGACCCAATTTTTTCCTACCCTAACTGAAAGTTTTCCTTTTGATTTGCAAGTCTTCTGCCTTAATGAAAATTGAAGATTCATTTGAATTAATGAGCATCTTCTTTTAACAATGCAAATAATACTAGCCTGGTTAAAAGCCACTGATATGACTGAGTTCTGTTAAAAACTTTCAACAAATCCCTAGTGAAAGTCAATTACACTGAATAGAGGAGATCTCCGTATGCAGGAGTAGAAAGTCAAGTAAATTTGGAAACTGAGCTGCTTGAAGAATCTGGGAGGGGAAGTGCTTGGAGCAGCATGAGCATGTGTAATAGGGGCCAGAAATGGAGGCATTCTGTCCACTTTTTCTGGACAAAGTGGACAGAAAAAGGATGTAAATAGATGATCAGCAACAGAGGGACATCTGAGGAAAGGATGATCACATACCCACTGTATGGATATCTCTGTCGACATTGAAAAAGTGATCACTAAGCTCTATTGCAAGGAAGAAAATATTCCCGGTGTCATGTAGGGTTAAAGGCAAGAACCATCAGAAAGAAATGTCAGAGATGTCAACATGAACTTCACGTTGCTGAATATTGAACTAGAGTTGGGCTAAAAGTCTTCTTCCTTTTCCTTCTCCTTCTTATATTCTTATTTCAAAGACTCAGCATCCAGGTGATTTCAGTCACAACCATGGTCTAGCAAACACTGAGACTAGAACTGTGGTTTAAAGCATTGTTCCTATAGAGGAAAGCTTAAACATTCTCAATATTCAATTATAAAAATGAACCTTTGATCATAAATTGGAGACTGCCTGTAAGCATATATCAGTTAAAGATTACTAAAAATTGATAAGACTGGATGATTTCCAGGGTACCCTGGACTATCTCCCATTCTCTAGGCAAAGAAAAGGAACTCCTGATAAACCCATAGTGATATCCAGTTTCCTCTTTATAAATAGTAATTGGATTGTCAGCTGGGTCCTTGGGCACCCTGAATAAAGATTTCCTGGTTATTAGCCAACAGAACATAGGCAGCTTATCAGGGATGCTCTTAAGATGGGATTTGTCCCTCCTTTCCCTACCCTTTCCACTTTCCTATGGGCTGGCAGGAGACTTATGGAGGGGGGGGCAATTTGGATAGCATAGCAAAACTAAGAGCCTGGACCCCTCTTGGCTTCATGGAGCAAACCTTATTACCAGCTGAGACTTGAACACAATCCAGAATTCAGCTTCTACCTGGTCTGAGTTGCTGTTATCTAAGTCCTGTGCCACCAAACCTGTGTATTCACTGATATTCCCCAATGTCCTGCTTCACTTCCTAACATACACCTGCAGGCATTTCTACTCCAACTCAAATACTTTTTCATGTTGTCCATTAGTGAAGGGGATTTTTGTCCACTCCAACCAACAATTAGTATAACACAGAGAATATATCTTGTATGAAAGTAACTTGGGCAGCCATAATTACTTCTAATTTTAAGAAATGAGTTACCAGGCCACCAATACTTACGTAGATTTTTATTGTTTTACTATTAAAAAAATTAATCTTGAAATTGATTAATCTTAAGGTAAATACTAACCATATATTTATTTTTATACATTATATACACTTGAGAAATAAATAGTGTCCTAAGCATTAGAAAAAAAGCATTTAAAAAATCATTATATACATGTAAGGCTTCAGCCAAGTGTATAAATATAAGATCCACTGAGGATTCGATGCCCAAAGCTTCCATTACCAAAAACAGAAGTCAGAATTAACCAGGATGCGCAGTCAATAATACAAGCTCCACTTTGGCCAGAAAGCTATTGCAGAAGCAACAGAAGAAGCGTATAATTGAACTGAGATATACCTTGAATTGAAGCATGACTGTTATGTGTGAAGCAGCTTGGCATTGAATGATGACGTGACTTTGGCACAATACAGATTAAAACATCCTTTAAAAACCTAGGAACAAAGAAAATCATTCTCCCTCCACCTGACATCACATCTCCTTTCAAATAATCTCATCTATAAAAAGCCCAACCCCTTGGCTCCTAGTTATACATTAATAAAAAAGTTTAATGTTTTATAGATGACTCTGAAAAAAAAATTCCTTGTTTGTCACAACTGGGGCATATTGAAGATTGAGTATACCACGGACTTTGCCTCCAGGAAATTTGGGTCCTCAATCTAGTTCCACCACCAACGTGGTATGTAATTCTAGGCCGGTAGCTGAGCTAAGTCTTGGTTTTATAAAATAAAGATAACAGTTTCCCTGTTCACCTCCTGTTGGGAGTCTCTAATTAGGTGATACATATACAAATCTGAAAATATATAAAAGAATTTCTCAAACACCTTATATATTCTTTCAAATCATGACCTAGAACTGGAGGCATTTCCAAGAAGTTCAATACAGAAAAGGCACTGGTATTAGGACAAAATATGCCAGGGAGGAAAAAACGCTGTATTCAATCTTAACACCAGTTCTGTTTGATGGTGTCGGTTTCTGTAGAAGCAGACATGTGTAACATATGTAATACCTTCCGTGTTTCGAAATAGCAGAGATTGTGCTCCAAAGCAACCACGTTCAACAAATAGCCAGATCATTCTGGTTCCTGGCACATCTGACACTTTACTCGCTACTTCATTAGTGATCAAACATGTCACTCTTAGGGGAAATGGCCTGTGTTAAGAAATCTTCCCCAGAGCCCCTCTTGCCTTTCCTCATATGTACATTCAGGCAGGGATCTAGAAATCTCAGCCTCTTTAGATTCCAATTGAGGAGAGTCAGGAGAGTTTCAGTAATGCATCTAATGCCATATGCTAAGTAATTTTTAGTGCTTAACAAACATTTGTCCTATCAAAAAGTAAACAACAGAAAAGTTTTAAAGCCAATGATGTGTGCTTTAAAGAGTAGGTTGTGGGGCAGAACAGAGTATTGGGAAAGTAACCAGTATTGATCAGTGCAGCCCATTGAACCCTAACAATGAGGGCCTCAGCACCCCAGACCTACTCTCACCTCTCTGGGTAACAGGACCACAAGTCTGTCATCCTGGACCAGGTCAGCACCCAGCAGGAGGTGGCTCTGAAAAAGGTGGCTCAAGGCAGGCCAAACAGCTGACGCCTTCTGCTCAGTCACTGCAGAGCTAACTAAGCCCAGGGTCAGCAGCTAGGTGTGCACGAGAGGGGGGCCTTCAGCCCTCTGCCTACGCTTCAAGTCAGCACTAGCCTAGAGCAACAGCAGGAACTACCCCAGGCCATGGTCCACTCCAATGAGCAGTCCCAGCCATCATAGGAGGCCCAGGCCTGGACACAGTATGCCGCTGCTTCCTGGTGCTGGAGGGTCAAGGCCAAGAAGGTCCTTCCATCAGGCGGGTCCTCAGCCGTAACTCTTCTCTGTGTGCTTGGAAGGAGGCGGGTCATGCTGCCAGGCACACTCAGAGATGTGCCCAGGTCGGACTGAAAGGAAGCATGAGAGAGTGGCCTTCATTAACTTGCTTCACAAACACGCAGCCAGCCATGTTGAGGGCCTGCTGTGTTTAGCCCAAGACCAAGCTTTCTTACCTATCCAATGCTTTTACATGCTTCCCTTTCAGAGCAAATGGAAAAGAGCCCAAGGGCTTCTTTCTCCCCCAACCCCAACAAACCACAGATTCGCTTGGAGAATCGCCACGCTGGAGCCCTCCCTGGGGCCTAGTTCCATGCACCACAGGGCTGGTGGATAAATATTTATCACAACACCCACTGAAACATGCACACAAACGCATGCACACACACACACAATTGTGGGAAGAACCATCAGAGCCCCCTTGCCTTGATCTAGAATTGCAAGAGAGACTGCTGTGTGGTAGGAAGTAGGTGAGACAGAATCAAGAGATCTTGATTCTAGGCCCTGCCTCCTTACGAGGCTATTGAAACTCTTTGAACCTCAGGCTCCTTATCAATGACTAGGTGGTGAACAGCATTCAGGTCAGTAGAGAGACTACTAAGGCATACTGTGTGTCCAGGGCTTCCCTGAGCTTGTGTAAATTTGTTATGTGGGCTCCTATTGTTTTCTGCTCCTTTGGGGGAAAAAGGATAGACAACTTCTTCTTCCAAGAGGTGAAATGAGGTGATTTCTATTGTTCTCAACTGTTACAAAGTTCTGAAGCAGAAAAATAGAATATCTTATCATAAGAATAATTATAAGAATAGCAATCTTTCCTGGGAGTGTCCAATTGGCATGGCTGTTCAGACGATCAATAAAGGCAATATATGTGGACACACTTGGGAAGATAGAAATTTGAATGCAAACACAAAGAATTCAAATGATTATTATAGTTGAAAATCTTGAACCCTCACTAGACTGAGTTGCTTAATTAAATGAGCAGTTCTTGGAATCCCACAAGCCCTGTGATCACTGAGCTTGTGGTTGTGGGGATGGTCCTGAACGCAAGACAGAGCAGCTGGGAGGTACCTGGCCCTCAAGGTTGGCAGACGGTTAATCACAGGGGACCCCAGTCTGGGCCCAGCTGCTTGATAATTGATGCCCAGACCAAAGTGAAGCGATTTATCTGAACTCGTGAAACCTCCATGGCTAAAGAGTACAGGCTTCAGAGTAGACCCACTTGCTCCAGATCCAACTCTGCCACCATCACCATCTCAGGTTCCCCAACTGCACACGGGGCTAACAACACCAGGGTCATGGAGCTGATGATAAAAGTAAATGAAATGATGGTATGGCATATGTTACATGCTCAGCCTATGGCAACAGCATTGTTATCTAGGACCTTGGTTGGGGCAAGGAATCGGGGATCAGTGAGGGGCCCATCTCCCTCCTCCTCAGCAGGCATTTAAGTTCACAGGCTGTGTGGCAGATTCCCTTTTCAGATGCACCTATACCTGCCTCCCACTATGAAAGCAATATTCCTCAATTCTGGCATGATGGGACACTGAAGCAAGACAACCATTTTATCTAATTCAGCCCCACACAGGGACATTCCTGCTTCTCAAAAAGAGGGAAGACTAGGCCTCCCTGGTGGCACAAGGGTTAAAGTCTCAACACTAGCAAGCTATCACCAACCACTGCGGCATGAGTTCTATCCCCAGCCAGGGAGCTGACCCACATGGCGCATAGACCTCTCCTGTCTCACCCACTACTCCCCTGAGCAGTGTATTTCCGTAGATCTGCCTGTTCTGCTCCCCACTCTGTCTCTGGTGAATCTGCCATCACCACCAACCCCCAAACCTCTGGCCTAGACCCCAGCTTTTGTATGCATAAATAGATAAAATAAATCTTAAAATAAAAAGAGGAAGGACTGTTACTAATATAACTCACACCAACCTGGGTTCCAGAAAATCTCAAAAGGGCACTACACCTTGTTCTTTCCCTTTGCCACTCTACTCCCCACTCTGACTTGGTGCCCAGAAGGACATTGGGGACCGTAGAACCTTCCCACAACCCCCATCACTACAGAGAAGTTCATTTTAATATGGGGGATTGGGCCCAGGAGGTAGTCACTGAAAGAACCATTTCAGCAGGGCTCGGCTACGGCAACTCTAGGTGAGGACCAACAAAGGCAAAGGTACTGAACACCCTCCGACTTCCTATATAGTGCCCTAGTGTTCTGTCTCCTGCCACCAGAAGATCAGCTTCCCAAAGGAAGGGATTTTTACCCATTTTCTTCCTGCTTTGCCCCCACGCCCACACCTACAACCAGCACATGCTAAGTGAGATAGGAGAAAGCACCAATTACCTGATTTCATTTTTCCTTCTCCAGCCATCCAGACACTTGTGAAACCAGAGCTCTTGCCCCGGGGATATGCTGGTATGCTCAAGGTCTTCTGCACAAAAAGTCAACCTAGGAGGAGAAAGAAACCATCGATGTAGCCCCCAAAACTCCAGAGGAAGGAACATGGCTATGTCAGCCAGGGAGCATCTACATCTAAGGTGGACAAAGCAAGGAGAAGAGAGTAGATTTCATGGCGCCTCACTCTAAATCCAGAGCCTGCAGAACTCCCGGGACCCTAGACTATGAGCACCCTAAGCCTGGGCTTGCTTTAGGTCTCCCGTGATTCAGTCACGCAGCCTTTAATCAAACCCCTTCTCTCTGCCCATCCCTAAGCCTGCCCTACCTGTCCCTCCAAAGCCTCCCTGACCCCAGCCCTTTTTAATCTAACCTTTCCTTGACCTCTCCATTTCATAAAAAATCACATCCTTACATAAATGTTGCTTTGTGACTATTGTTACTTCTTATGGCATGGAATCAATAATGAATGTTTTGTCTTACTTTAACACATTATATACATTATATACGTTTGTACATTATACACATGATATACATTTCTCTACAGTGAGAGATTTAATAATACCTAGTGGAGTTGGAGGATTTATACACTATACCCCAGCAATGCCGCTTTTTTACACACCTGCCCCCAACAGCCTCCACATACCTGCACAAGGGAAATATACAAAAATGTTCATCTCAGCACTATTTGTGACTGCAAAAATTTAGTAACAACTTAAATATTTAGCCAAAACAATGGTGAAACTATTGTTTATATGGTGACAGTTCATATAAAGGAGTTAAACATGGACAGGACCTATATGTACTGAATAAATTTCATAAAAAATGTTGGGGGAAAAAACAACTTGTTAAATATTACATTCACTAGTGTAAACTTCAGAAGCATCCAAAATAATTCTATACATTGTCATGGATGCAATCAGAAGCACTAAAGATGTGAAAGTCAAGAAGTCCAGTAATATCAACATTAGCTAATGTGGGAAGAATAAATTGAAATAAATTGTTTGAAGGGGAAGGGCACTAAGAGAGCTTTAGCTCTCTCTGTCATGTCTTTCTTTCTAAAAATCTTGTACCTGAAACCAATATTTACAGAAAACTATTTCCATTTTTAAGCCTCTATGTTCTGTTTATAATATTTTATAGAAATGTTCCTTTTTCTATAAAATATAGAATATAGAAAATATAGAAAAAAGGTGTTCCTCTTTTTGCCACCAGCACCCCAGCTTACAAGCACAGTAAGTGCTTGTACTTATAAGTACGCAGAGAAGGAAAAAGACATAATTATCTAGATGAGTCCTGGTGCTAACATAACCGTAGCTGACACCCCTAATTCAGAGTTTTCTAGACCAGAATCACTCAGATGAGGGCCCCAAGCCTCCACTCTCCATTCCTGGAAACCAAGTTGTGCCATAGGTGATGTGTGGGAACAGAACACACGAAGAACTGCAATACAGAAAATGCAGGAGGTGCAGAGGGGGTGGAGGCTGCTTCCTACCAGCCCTAGGTTGGCAGCACCCTCCCAGAGGTCTGCAAAAGAACAGGGCCAAGGAGAACTTGACAAAAGCCTCCCAACCTTCCCTGGTTTCTACTTAGAAATAAGGCTGCTCAAGGACTCAGGTCACGGTTTTAGGGACTGACATATAAAGGTCTGGATTTTTCATGCTGGATTGGGGTTAAAAGATCTGGAGAAACTATCACCTGGCAGAGCACAGAGGATTCTCTGTCACTTGCTGTTAAGATGCCTGCCCTGAATGCCTGACTCAGAGCTTCCAAAGGAGAACTTATTTACAATGCTCTGAAAATAGGATGCTAGACACACCAGTGTCCCCAGCAGACCTCATGTCTGGGGGCTCCCTGGATTTGAGACTCTGGTTTGCCCTGGATAGGAGCAAGGAGACTTTGGTTGCTCGGACCGTGGAGCAAACAGATCAGCAAGCCTGTGCTCCTAAACAGCGAAGGGCCCCCACCCCCCCACCCCACCTCCAGGTGAACACAGAGCCTGACAAACAAAACAAGGACTGGATTCCAGTCCTCACTTGCCCACCCCTCACAGCCAAGGCTGTGATCAGGGCTCAAGTTGCACAACAGCTGATAGAGGGCTTGACTTGGAATTCTCTTCACCTTGCTGAGGTTTTGCCCATGTGCCCTGCTGCACAAGGACTGAGTTGCAGGCTTAGTGAAGGAAAGGACACAGCAGTTTGCTCTCTGTGCACCACTGACAAGGCAGGGGAAAGTCATGGGCCAAAGGGCACTCACTTCTGCTGGGTTTCTCCGGACTTGACCCGGATGCGCCTGATGTTCACCTCCTGCTGAGAGTTATGAGGCTGAGACAGCAAGCTTCTAAACTCCTTCCACACATAGTACCAGGAATCAGAGGTCCTCTTCCAGGTGAGGCTGATTTTCAAAATGTCGCCCAAGTCCTCCTCGGTGTAGACCAGGAAGGTATTGGTGGCATTCAACCCGATCTGCTCCACTCTACAAGGTGAGAGGAAGCTGAGCTCATTTCCCTGCCTTAGTACTGGCTCCACAGTGACTGCAGAGAATCCAGGATGAGGACTCTGCCTGCCTCAGGCCCTCCATGCCCACCCCCCAAGCCGGGTGGAAGCTCAGCCGTGCCCCATACTAAGAGGTAACTTTGCCCATAGTACCCCAATTTCTGATCAAAACCATTTCTGAGCATCTCCCTATTTATACTGCTTCTTGAGACGACAGAACCAAGGAAGAGCAGAAATGAGGAAGCACAAAGAAGTCATATCCCCCTCTATATTCTCGTATGTGGAATATAGAGAAATAAAACAAAAGAACAGACAAAATTAAGCCAAGGCAAATCTGACTGTGGAACTGAAGTTACCACAGGGGGAACTTGGGAGGTTGGGCAGTAAAGGGGGTGGGGATGGGGGCGACGGACTAAGGTGGAGGACAGGGTGCCTTGGTAGTGGGGTGGGGGTGGTGACATACATCTGAAGAGGTGGGAAGCTATACCTCTGAATCATGTACAGTGTCATAAACCAATGTTAGTGCAATAAGAATACAATCAATTTTTAAAAAGTCCCATCTCATTCAACAGCCGCTTCTTCCTCCTCTCAGCGCTCTGGCCCCTGTCTCTCTGAAAACCACTCACCCCTCCTTCTGTCCCTCCCATGTGTCACATGGCAGGGCCTGCCTGGTCAATTCATCTCACAAGCGTGTACATGAAGACCTAGTCTCCCAGGCAGACCCCGAACCCTGAAAACAAGGTACTCTGATGATGTTACTTCTGTTTCCCAACATTGCTCAGCTTGGCACTTTGCCTCATGAGTACAAATGCATACCGACTGCTACGTGCCCCTCCCACGGATCATTAGAAATAGTCCAGGGATGACGAAGTTCTAAATTTCCTAAAGCCTCAGATGTCAGATGTTGTCTGAAATGAGCCAGCGGTTTCTGCCCAGCTGCTCCAGCAGCTTCTCACGCTGCTGATTCACCCCAGGACCTTCCCTCCCAGAAGGCTCTGAGTCAAGGATTTGATGGGGGTGGGGGGGTGTGCAACAGGAGAAAGGACTCCAGAGGCTTGAGGAAACAACCCAGCTCCTCCCCAGGTAGGCTGGCTACTCTCTCCTGCACTTACTCGCATGTTCCACGCTCTCTCCCCACTCCAATGTGCTCTTTGTCCTAAGCCCAGCAAAGCAAACTCATGACTTACATTTCCAAAGGCAGAGACTGCGAGTCTGAGTTGGTGCCATATAAGGTGACATAAAAGGTGGGCTCGATTTCTGCCACGTTCTTATAATTGAAGATATGGATTTTCAGTTGATAATGGTAAACTGCAGAGACAGCAGAACAAAGCAGAACATCTGAACAAACACTTGAACATCATCTCAGGGCACCCTGACCTAAGCCAGAAGTGTCATCTCTTAGATCCAGCAGTGCCTCCCATCTCCAGTCCAGTGGCAGAAGAGATCACGAAAGTCCAGAAGTAGAGCCTTGAACTGGGGATTGAGGAGAACTTCAGGGGATGGCTGCCCAGCTTCTTTCTAGCTGCTTGATCTTGAGTTAGGGACCAAGATATTAACCTCAACTTCTTCACATGTAAAATAACACCAAACCTTATGTTTTACAATATTGTATTAAAATGCAAGATATCATTTCTATCCCCTGTTGGTCCTACCTCAGGTATATTGTGCCAATCAAATGAGAAAACAAATATGAAACAACTTTGAGAAGTTCAACACAAGATGGAAATTTAAGATACTGATATTGTGGGCCTCCCTGCAGGCGGTTGAGCACCGCACTGTGGAGCTGTCCACAACCTCTGCAGCGCGGGTTCAATCCCGGCCTTCTGGCGAGAATCCTACATGGCAAAGCAGACCTCTCCTGCTGCACCCGCTGCTCCCCTCAGCAGTGTGTCTCATCAGTCTGCCTGTTCTGTTCCCCGCTCTGTCTCTGGTGAATCCTCTCACCCTCCCGCACATCTGGCCTGTACCCCGGTTCTTGTATAAATAAATAAAAAAAAATCTTTAAGATACTGATGTTGTGCTCATGGAGTGATCATCGACATCATGAAAGGAGTCCCCGCCATTTATTTTATTTTTTTTTAAAGATTTATTTTTTATTTATTTATACAAGCACTGGGTACAGTCAGAAGTGCAGGAGGATGAGAGAATTCACCAGAGCCAGAGCGGGGAGCAGAATAAGCAGAAGGACCGAAGTACACTGCTGAGGGGAGCAGCAGGCGGCAGGAGAGGTCTGCATGCCATGTGGGACCCTCACCCAGTGGCCGGGGAGCAGCCGGGGATCGAACCGGCGCTGCAGAGGCTGAGGGCAGCTTTGCAACCCAGCGCTCAACCACTGCGCCACCGGGGAGGCCCCCCCACTATTTATTTTTAAAGACGAACTTTCCCAGGGCGTGCACAACACAGCCTGACTTGCAATGACTTAACTGTGCCAACCACACCTCCCGGGCTGGGATGTACCTTGTTCTGCAACATGGTATTTAGAGGAAGGAAAAGAGGAAAGTCAGGCTCATGTGGTCTGAGAATTACCTCTGAAAGGCATGCCACCCCGGGTTTTTAAGTACATCTTGCAGTTCCTCTTGTTTCTCATCTTCTTAGCATTGTAGCCGATGCCGCTACAACGGTTCTTCCGGCAGCTGAGACAGATTCCCTTTTTGAAGCGGTTCGAGTCTGTGCACCGAAATGCAAAGCTTGGCTTGTCCTGATTCACCAGGGAGTCAACAAAGAGGTGAATGGCACGCTCATGTTCACACCTTATCCCCTCGGCAAGTTCTGTGGGAGGAAGAGAGAGACGATACGAGCTGAGCCACTTCTCCAAGATTTGCCTATTCAGTCAATAAGTACAATTCATCGATAATAGCTATTTTTTTTTTACTTTATTGTTGCTTTTTAAATCATTCTCAACACATTCCCAGTGACAGACTGGGCTCCTAGGAGGGTGTAAAATTAAAGACCATTCCCAGCATACACCTGCTTGCTCTCCAGGTGAGAAGATAGCACTAATACACACCACGCAACGAAGAGCAAGTGTGAGCATACAATGAGCACTAAACAGGGTGATGAAGACCAGTTGTGCAGTAGGAGTGACTAGGTCCTGATTAGGTTGTCAGGTCACAAGATGCTGGATATAGATCAGATGCTAAACATCATCTAGTCCGGGGCTCAGTGAACTATCGCTTGCAGACTGGCTGCCTGTTTTTCAAGTAGCTGGATTAGAATGCAGTTCATTTGTTTATGCATTACTGTGGCTGCTTTCATGCTCCAACAGAGTGGAGTACTTGAAACAGAGACTGTGTTCTGCAAAGACTAAGATATTTACTAGATGACCCCTTAAGAAAATGTTTGCTGACTCTATTCTTCTTGTCCAATCCTCAATTATAGATTATGATCCAAAAGTCCATAGTAACTTGCTTGGGATCACATCATCAATTGGTTGCAAAGTTAGAAGTATAATTGGGACTTTTCTTGCCCAGGATACATCATTATTTCTTCTAACCAGAGAAGTCGGTAGTTCAAATAAATCCTGGGACCTTAAGAAAAATTCTATGCCCACCCTTTCCTCACAAACACAACCATCCTTAAGAAATACATTTGTCACATCCTCTGAGGCAGGCAGGGTTGAACTACCCCTTACATAGACTTCACATCCTGTGTGGCTACTTGGCTATTATCACATTGGGACAGGGTAACAATCTTAAGACTGGATGACAGAGAGGAATATCCAAAGGGCAGAGCAGTAGAGAGAGATGGCAGGGGCTGGGGATTTAAAATGCTGCCTAATGGGCCTCCCCAGTGGCGCAGCAGTTGAGCGCTGGGTTGCGAAGCTGCCCACAGCCTCTGTAGCACCAGTTTGATCCCCGGCCACTCGGCGAGGGTCCCACATGGCACGCAGACCTCTCCTGCCGCCCGCTGCTCCCCTCAGCAGTGTATTTCGTCACTCTGCCTGTTCTGTTCCCCGCTCTGGCTCTGGTGAATTCTCTCACCCTCCCGCGCTTCTGACTGTACCCAGTGCTTGCATAAATGAATAAATAAATCTTAAAAAAAAAAAAATGCTGCCTGGGGCCTCCCTGGTGGCGCAAGGGATTAAGACACAACCTATGCTTCTATTATTTTTTTTTAATTAACTTAAATTGAAAAAAAATAAAAGACACAACCTATGAAGCTATCCGCAGCCACTGCAGCATGAGTTCGATCTCTGGCCAGGGAGCAACCCACATGGTGCATCAGACCTCTCCTGACTCACCTGCTACTCCCCTCAGCAGTGTATTTCAGTCAATCTGCCTGTTCTGTTCCCCGCTCTGTCTCCGGTGAATCCTCTCACCCCCACACTTCTGGCCCATACCCCAGTTCTTGGGTGCATAAATAAACAAATCTTAAAATAAAATAAAATGCTGCCTGGGTCCAAGGCAGTGAGTAGGTAAGGAGTAGTTGGTAAGTAGAGCCATATGCACTGATGTTTTAAGAATGTCCATAATACAATATAACTGAAAAAGAAAGACTGCAAAAGAATGAAAGAAATGATTTTTCACACACAAATAAATGTTCAAAGAAAAAAGACTGGAAGGATACACGCAAAATTGTTCATATTGGCTATTCCTAAAGAGTTAAGAGCAGGAGCAGAAGTAGGAGCTGAGCAGAAATAAGCCAGAAAGGCGAAGAAAAATACCGGATGGTCTCACTCATAGCAGGAATCTAGAAAACTTAAATAAGGGACCAGGAAAAAGAATAACTATAAGAAAGAAAATATCAAAATCAACAAACAACTATGAACCAGAGACACTCTATGGGAGGTGGGGGGCGGGGAAAGGAGGGCTTGGGGTCAAGATAAGGGGGTTGTAATTGTATGGGGAATATAAAAATAAAATTTAAATAAATAAAATAAAAGTGATAAGTGCCCACAATGAAGAAAAATTTAGTAAAACCAAAAGGAATAAAATAAAAATAACCTTTCTCTCAGCTCAGAGGAAAAAAAAAAGAAGTAGGAGCTGAGGGAGGATGTTTTACTTTTGGGTTTATGCAATTCTATATTGCCTGATTTCCTTCAACAAACATGTATTCCTTCTGTTATAGAAGAAATTAATAACAAAAGAAATTAATAACAATAATAGATGCAGTTCATGTGACATATTAAGTGATTAAGTGCTTGTGACCTCAGAGCATGAGAAAACAGAGCAGACACTACTGTTAACAAGACATTAACAGACTTATGAGATGATGAAGAACAGCAAACACAGGGTTGAAGGACAACCATGGGGGACCCCAAAAGTTTTCTCTGATTTAGGAGATGTGATAACTGAGTTAAACCTCCCCATGAAGCACAAAAGTAAGGAACTCACTTCCATTTGCAATGGACCCCCAGACATTATCCAGATCACAGCCGGGCTGGGGGTCACCATAGTTGGGGTAGATGTCTATGTGGCCCACGGGCATCTTAATCCCAATGCTTAAGCCGAAGGAGGTCGTGTAGGTGTGGAGGACATCCACAAAGTCTGCATCGTCAGGGGACAGTCTCTTGTGGATGTCCACCCCTTCAAACAAGGGGCCAGCAGGATCCAAACCTAAAGCAGAAGGGGAGACAAGACCATCTGTCAGGTGAACCAAGTCAGGGAGTCCTGAGTTAAAGCCAAGTCCACATGTGCAGAATGAAGCCGACCTGGGAGCCCAGCCCCAAAGAGCCTGCAGTCAAGGAACTGACATTCTTCTGAAGCCTTTGCCTGTCCTGATATCGCAGTTGACTTGGAAAAGCAGCCATGAGGCTCACTTCTGCACTCAAGGAACTGTGGACTCAGAACTCGGGTGGTGCTAGAGAAGATTCAGCCTGGCTGAAACTAAGCCACTCATCCTCTTTACTGCCACCTCCCATGGCCTTTTACAGATCAACTATGCTCCTGCATCTTCTGGAGGGACTTCCCCTCCCCCTTCCTTTAGTTAGAATCAGACCCCCGGTGGGACAGTGAGAGTGGAGAGTACACCAGAGACACTGTAAGCCCACAATCCAGGCCTGAGAATTCCTCTATTTCATAGCCACAAAGGAAAAACCTTTTTTGCCTGCAAACTTTTGGTACTGAGCAGGAAGCAGCACAGTAGACAACACTGGTTCTCACACTTGAAGCTGCACAAATATCACCTGGCAGCCTGATTCAGATCCCACTCTGTAGCTACAAAAAACCCTGCAAGGACACACCAGGAAAGCAGGGAACCGGCAGGAAGCGGCAACAGTAAGAGAGACTGTCACTATCTTTTAATTTGGGAACCACATGATGTAAAACTACTCACATTAAAAAGGTGCAAAGCATAACTAGGAGATTTCCTGGCCCCTGAGAGATTCTCCTCTGGTGTAGAGCCCAGAAAAACATATTTATTCCCCAAGGTGATTCTAAAGTGGGTGGTCTGAGGCCCAGATTTCAAAAAATGTTTCCTGTGCCTCCCTGGTGGCACAGGAGTTTGAGCGCCACACCATGAAGCTGCCCACAGTCTTTGCAGCACAGGTTCCATCCCAGCCGGCCAGCGAGAATCCCACATGGCACGGCAGGCCTCTCCTGTCGTGTGCTGCTCCCCTCAGCAATGTATTTCATCTGTCTACCTGTTCTGTTCCCCGCTCTGTCTCTGGTGAATCCTTCACTCTCCCATGCATGTGGCCTGTATCCCAGTTCTTGCATAAATAAATCTTAAAAAAAAAGTTTCCATGCTTCAGTGTCACCCATAAAAATGAATGTAAATGTCTTCATTCATGCAGTTCATGTGACATATTCAGTGATTATGTGCTTCTCGATGTAAATACTAGCTACTACTACCAAGCCCAAGTAATTATGGGAACTGGATTCATCCCAAACCAGAAGGCTCTTTGGCCTACAGACATGGAGGAAGAATCTGGAAAAAACTATGTGCAGCAGAGAAAAGGGTTTGTTTAGTCTAGACCAGAGCATCTCACCTGGGAATGATTTTGCTCCTAAATGAACAAGCCCTGGAGAGAAGCTACTAGCATTTGCTGACTCTAAGCTAGGGGTACTGGAAACATCCTATACATGCAGGCCCTCTCCTGCAACAAAGCATCATCTGGACCAAAACGTGAATAGGTTCAGAAACCCTAATCTAGAGCAATCAAGGCAGGGAAAAGAAGCAACCAAGAACAGAGAAAGAGGTGGGTAATAGACCCATGTTCACCAAACTCAGCACCAGGAAGCTCACTGTGAACCTTCAGGGGTAATTTTAGGATAAACACAAGACAGAGCTATCACCCAGACCACAGAGTAAACTTGCAGAACTCATTCCTCGTAAAACAGGTAGCGGCTGAATTCAACTCTGGTTTCCAGGAAAAGTTTAAATGAATTTTATATATGAAAGAGGCAAAAAGAGAGCCTGGGCTGCTTGGGGGCCCATCCCGAGCCCTAGTCCCCAAAGAACCAGGGCACCAAAGCAGTGTCCTCCCGAAGAACCCGGGGTGATTAGTTTTAGAAGCTGCGAGGACAACAGACCTGACACAAGCAGCCTCTCCCGGCCCCTCGTCACCATTCTGATCTGCAATCTATACAGGAGAGGGGCTCTTTGCTTGGTGTGAACAAAAGTCTCCACCAGACGGTCAATGTCATGGAAACCAAGTTGCGTGGGAGGAATGCAGGCCGCCGGGCTTCTGGACGGCCCCCAACAGGCAGGCCGAGCCTTCACCTACCAGACGGATCTGTCTGACACATACCCAGGGTCCACGGACTCTGGGGAGAAGTTGCACCTTTTACCTTTTGGGATGGGAGGGAGAACTTATCTCCTCCAAAAAAGGAAAAGATAGAGGCCTGCCCTTCCTTCCACTGAGTCCAACTCCTCCAAAGGGTTTGTGCCCGGTAAAGGGAAATCACACACATGCACACACTTGCACACATTTGCACACACATGTGTACACATGCTGGAAAACCTTCCAGGGCTTTGCATTCTCACCCATGTAGAACAGTCACTTTATTACCTCCAGCAGAGGAGAGGTAATGTGGTTCTCTGGACCTGACGGCCTGGGATAAAATCCCAGTTCTTCTACCCAATGTGTGAGATATCGGGCCTGTTGTTTAATCACTGAAACCTCATTTTCATGAGTTAAATGAACTGCAAAGCACCTCTTTGGCCAATTGCTATGTAGCTTAGAGATGAAAGCGTAGATACTTGCTATTAGGCAGCATCTAGCCCAGAACTTGTACATAGTGGACACTTAATTAATATTTCTTAGAAAGATGAATCTTCTTGCTTATTTATTTATAACTAACTGGACACAAATTGAATTAGAAATATATGACCACTTCACCAGTATATCACAGAATTCTCTGAGAAGTCTAAGAAGGTGAAACTCTGGCAAACCCCAGCCTACAACCCTCTAATCCAAGCAAGGCTAAGGTTCAGGTATCCCCTCCTGAAGGACCCCCTCCTGGCAACTGCACAGCAGGATTGGCCTTAGGAACCCAAGCAAGCTGCAGTCTCTGGTCCTCTTACAAACTGGGACCACCTGGGCCCCAGGCTCATGGGAATTACCTCAACCGAGAGAAGAGGAGAGTACACAGGCCTCCCCCACCTGACATGCACAGCAGCATTTATCAGGTGAGCCCAAGACTCTCTGGTCAGACACCACTCCTTCCTGCCTCACTCACCCCAGACTCCTGCTCCACAGAGGAAGGTCAGAGGGAAGGGGAGTGCTCAGAACAGGCAGGCCCCACACTCTGTGCAGCGGGCTCAGAGCACTGATTAGCATTCTGCCAGCAAAGCCCACATCCCAGCAGCTGCCATCCAAACAGGCAGAGAGAAAGCACGGAAAAGCACCTCGCTGCCCCATTTCATTTCAGATTTAGAAATCTGGGAGAGGGGAGATATGCAGCTTGTTGCAGGCAAATAAGGCTCTGGGCCCTGGCCTTTCAGTGAGGATCTTACATGTGCTATAGTTTGAACCTGCCTGCCTGGCTCTGAATATCATGTCTCCCGTGGGGGGACGGAGGAGGTGCTCAGACAATCGAGCCCAGAGTGACCAAAGAGCTTTGCACAAGCAATAGGCTAATGAGCAGCCATGTGAAGCCACACAATCCCTTCTGCTTACACGGCTCAGGCCCGAAGTCTTGGTAATCAGAAATAACGTTCTCAAGTGACGGCAAATCAAAGAGATCTAGAGATGAGACAGAGACAGTAAAAAAAAGAGAGAGAGAGAGAGGGAGAGAGAGAGAGAGAAAGAGAGGGAGAGAGAGAACACCAGACTGAGGAAGAAAAATAAAGATTAAGGACATTCTTTATAGCCTAGAGGAAGTCTTATATATGTATTTGAGGGACCCCCAAAATGGGAAAGAGAATCTTTCCCACTTTTTAGAATCATTAAATGATTTAATCCAATTTTTCACAGCAAAAGCTCACTAGGATGGAAAGCTCAATTATTTGTTTGTTTGTTTTTTTGTGGGATCCTCGCTGGTGGCAGGTGATCGAACTGGCGCTGCAGAGGCTGTAGGCAGCCTCGCAACCCAGCGCTCAAACGCTGCGCCATCGGGGAGGCCCAAGCTCAATTTTCTATTGACAGCTTAGATACCAGTCCCAGAAAGTTTCCTTTAATGACAAAGCTGAACCACCCATTCTAATTGGGTAATTATCCCTAATAAATGCATTAACTAAGGGCCTCCCCTGGTGGTGCAGCAGTTGAGCTCTGGGCTGTGAGGCTGCCCGCAGCCTCTGCAGCCCCAGTTCGATCCCCAGCCGCCAGCGAGGGTCCCACATGGTGCGACAGACCTCTCCTGCCACACCTGCTGCTCCCCTCAGCAGTGTATTTCGTCAGTCTGCCTGTTCTGTTCCCTACTCTGGCTCTGGTGGATTCTCTCACCCTCCTGTGCTTCTGACTGTACCCAGTGCTTGTATAAATAAATAAATAAATCTTAAAGATGGACACTAGAAAGAGGCTGTTCGTAGATGAAATGGAAATCAGAGGCAGAATAATTCAAACGGAATCCACCATTCTTTCCCCTTGAATGATGTCCTGGAACATCGTGGACAGAGGCCAGAAGTGAGGCCCAGAAGCTTGTGGCCAGGGCTCCACCTAGTTCTGTCCTTTCATTATTTGCAATTTGCCCCTGGGTGTCTCCTCACCCATCAGACTAAACAAGTGGTTTTCAAACTGTGTTCCTTGGTTCTCTAGTGCCCTGAGTTTCCTCCAGGGAAAGGAAGGTCCAAATAGCAAGGTTAGCACACCCACCACATACCCAGCTTCAGTCAGACCTTCTCTTCTATGCGTTTTATATACTGGGGTCATCTATGAGTTCAATTGGAAAAAAGGGTTCTGTGACTACAAAGGATATTTGAGAAGTCCTATATTAGAGGTTCTCCAGATTTCTTCCAAAGCTACCTCTGTGTGACTCGCGAGCATTCTGATTCAGAAAAGGTGAGGCTGAAAGGAGAGGCTAAAAGGTGCTCAGGTGTGAGCTGTTAGTAGAAGAAGCAAAGCTTACCTGTTATTCTGCCCACCGTGCCCTTCACAAAGTTGCCAGCATACCCAGCCACATGAGCTCCAAGGCTGTAGCCGATCAAGTGAACATTTCCAAGAGAAAAATCACCCTTCTCCTGCAAGAAGTCACAGAAGAGTGTGAATGGAGTTTGCCACCCGATAAATTCATCCATGTGCTATTGATTTCATAATCTGTGTATTAGTATTGCAACAGAAGGAATCATAAAAGACATGAGGCATGGCCTCATATATTAAAATAAAAAAGGTGTGGTCCTGAGTGCACAGGGTCACCAACAATTCAGTCACAGCAAGGAGGAGACACCAGAACTGGAGGCAGAGACTTCCTGGTGTATGGTTGGCATGCCTGGCAATGCAACAGGGATGGGACATAGTCAGGTGAGGGGAGGTCAAAAGGACTTGGCGGCACTTCAAATGCCAAATGCTAGCAGCAGAGTGGTGAGTGTGATTAGATGCTGCATACCTGACCCTTCGCTATGTTTCTGGCAGTATTGGGGGTAAGAGGAACAGTGTAGAGGTCAAAGCTACTGACTCAGTGAAGGCTTGGTGCCAGCCACAGCCTACATTGGTGCACTCCTTATGTACCCCTGATAACCCAGATGCTGCTAACCTGCTCACTACCAGCCCCTCTGGGACCCCAGAGCTGAAGCAAAGTGTCCTGGTAGGGTGTGAGCGGTGGGAATTTGACCTTGTGGCTCAGTAACCAAGCTCTATGAAACAACTTTGGTAGGGGCCCAGGGGTGATGTAGGGGTTAAGTCTCAGCGCATCACTGCCATCACCACCACAGTGCAGCAGACCTCTCCTGTCTCGCCCGCTGCTCCCCTCAGCAGTGTATTTCAGTCAACCTGCCTGTTCTGCATCCCACTCTGTCTCTGGTGAATCCTCTCACCCCCCGCACCTCTGGCCTACACCTCAGTTCTTCTATGCATAAATAAATCTTTAAAAAAAAAAAAAAAAACTTTAGCAGAGGACTAAAGGACAGCTCAAAATCCTGACCAAAATTCATCCAATTCCATGGACAAAAAGAATTCAGGCTGGAATTGCCCAGTTAAGTCCACTCAACTCGGGCAAATCACTAACCTATAGAAAGTTCATTTATGACCTCTAGATATGGTTTCTACACGTAATATTTTAAGCAAGGCACTGGAGCTGCCATTTGTTTGCCATTTGATTTGTTTAAATCAAGTCCCTCCCCACCCTTCTATGGCAAGAGCCAACTTCAATAGTTATTTAAGATTGTACGCTGGTCCCAACCCAACCAAGAGCCTGAGTTTCTAAGTTCAGCAAGTAATAACCGATATAGCAAATTTTCTTCTAGCAAACAAAGAAAGAGGAAAAATTCAGAGATAGCTCAACAATTCCAAAACTCTCTAAAAACCTCAGCTTGCAAACATTTCAAACAAAACTTAATTTGGTAAAAATCATAATCCCAAAGATTTGGATCAGACTTCTGACGTTTACTGTAACACAGCCTGACCTGAATTTCTTGAGCAGGTTGGGGTTCAAGATCCTGCCAGTGAAAGGAGACTCCCTAGTTACCTGCAGCCAGTCAAGCATCCTCGCCACGCTGTGGCCCACCACCTGCGTGTTGTTGACAGCATGCGTGTAAAGCTGGTGAGCCAGGGGGAGCCAGTCAACCACCACAACGTTGGCATCTTTCTCTCTCATCTGCAGGGCTGACACAAGATTGTATAGCCAATTTTCAAACATGCCTCCCAGCTGCAGAGAGAAGAGAAAACAGAAATTTTGTTTATTCTTCTTTATTTCTGGGTTTCAGAAATCTTAATGGATATAGAACTCAGTTCCATGACCCTTTCCCCAGCTGATTCCAGAACCTTGACTATGGATTCTCAGGGATCAAACACTTGCACATGAGCAGGGCCAGCTGCGGGCAGGGCTACTTCTGGGTGTTTGTCTTCCACTGCTCTTTATAGCACCTGTTTTCCCATGAAAACCTTCATATCTGGTAGCCCATGCTGCTGCCCTACTGCCCAGTCAGGCCATTATGAGGTATGCATTGGTAGCAATACTGGCAGAAGGTGAGCCTGAGCCCCTGTCATAGTCAGGCCAAAGGCCTGGTTCATGTTCAAGGACAGCTGGGAAGGGTTGCTCTGGAGAATGAGCTTCTGTCTCAGAGATGCAGGGAGATGCTGTCTCCTAGGCAAATGCAGAGTTAACAAATGACTCCTTCCCACAACCCATCTCTGCCACCCCTCTTGAGCCCAGAGTTAGGGAAGCTCTATCTCTGGAATCCCAAATTAGAACTCAGAACACATTTTCCCACAGAAACAAAGTTATATGGTGACCAGGCCTGGTTGTAAACCCATCCTCTAGCACATTATTAGATAAAGAGATTTTCTGTGCCTAGCCTGGGAACCCAGACTCCATTTACAATCTTTTTTTCTATGAGAAACCGCTGTTCCAAGTTCCAAACAGATTACAAAAGAACTTTCTGGAATGCAACACATTTGTAAAGTTACAGGCAGTTTGTATTTGCATTTCGACAGGGGACTTCTAAAAGGTTCAAATGCATGATTCTGAGCATAGACTATGGAGTGAGAATAGATAGACGGACCCTTTATCATTTCTTCAACCACATTAGCTGGTGGGTAGGCACCTCCCTAATCGACCCCAGAGCGCAACAGTTGGTGATAGACCAAAAGACCCAAAAAGCATGTAACGGATATGAATTTCTCATCATTAAAAGGAGAAATGTCCCCTCCCAATTAGCCCTAGCAGAAACCTGCTCATTTAATGGCACCATTTTCCTACAGACTGTCATTACATGAATGAATAAATCCCTTGCTGGTCAAAAGCTTCTAAAGCTGAGTGTTAAAGCCCCTTTTTGTTGAAGTTTGTCATGGGCCTTTCAATGTGAATTGCTCAGCGAGGGCACATAAAGAACCCCAATGCCTTTAAATGGAGCCATCTCTATGCAAACAGGAGGGCACCATGCCAGCCCAACCAGCAACCCCGGCCAGCTGGCTCCTCATAGACTCCGAGCCAGGCAAGTCGCTTCAGTTCAGCTCAGCTCTCGTGGAGGGATGGCCCCCGCAAGGCAGTGGTTGACCAGTGTAATTAAGTGCAATTAGAGAGGTCCTTAAGAACCAGAAGAGCTGGGCTGCTGCCCTCAGGAGCGCCACTTTCTGAAAGCCTGCTGTGTGCCAGCCTTAAATACCACCCTGCTGGGGTCTAGATTGCCCCCTCAGCGAAGTACCCATTACATTCTTCACAGCTGTCTGCAATACAAGCAGCCCACAAGAAAAGAGGGGCGAGAGAGTGAAATGTGGAAGCACCAATATTCTTTTTGATGACCAAAACAAAGGAAACCCAATCTTCAAAGCTGAGGGCTTCTTCCCTGGCTCACCGTCCACCCATGAATGATGAAAAAGGTTTTAGCTGTCATGTTGAAGCCACAGTCTTCTGAGAGCTCGTTGTGATTAAAGGAAAGGTAGCATCCTTCATGTTCCCGGTCCTGAGAGGTGCGGAGGTTAAATCTCACAGGGGGGCTGGAAGTAGTCTGCACCTCTCTGGGTCTGTGGTGCTCATCTGTGGAAAAAGAATAGAACACAGGCTTGGTAGTGAGACATCTGGGATCCGATGCTAGTTCAACCGCAGCAAATTACTTCCAGTTTTTATAAATGTTTTGCTAAATGTTTCCTCCTCACCTCCTAAGACAGTTGCAGAGATATCATAAAAGGAAGATCTCTAGATTTAAGAGAATTCATTAATCACTGGTATATTTAATTACTGTGACAGAAATAAAGAGCTCTCTCTTGCTTTTCTTTCTTCTTCCCTATGAAAATGAGTTCCCTGGGCCTCCCCGGTGGCGCAGCGGTTGAGCGCTGGGTTGCGAAGCTGCCCGCGGCCTCTGCGGCGCCGGTTCGATCCCCGGCTGCTCCCCAGCCACCAGAGGAGGGTCCCACATGGCACGCAGACCTCTCCTGCCGCCCGCTGCTCCCCTCAGCAGTGTACCTCGGTCCTTCTGCCTGCTCTGCTCCCCGCTCTGGCTCTGGTGAATTCTCTCACCCTCCCGCGCTTCTGACTGTACCCAGTGCATGTATAAATAAACAAACAAACAAATAAATAAAAATACATGCCTCAAAAAAAAAAAAAAGAAAAAAGAAAATGAGTTCCCCATCCTTCCCTCAAGTTGCTGGTTTTTGAGTATGGGTCCTCAACTCTTTTCCTGAAATGCATGGGACCTGTTGAGTGTCAGAATTTAAAATTCTCAGATTTTAGAAAGACATTATGGTACATAAACAATATATTCTATAACATATATGGGGCATAGATACATATATATGAAATATATGCACTGTATGGAATATGGGGCATTACTCAAACACCCTAATATTTCTGTAGGGAAATACATGACTACTCACACATAGAGGCAAAAATAAAGATTGTTAATAGCTTGTCTGCTCAGGTCCATTTTTGCTGTCAAATAAGTTCAAATGAAAAAAGGCCAGGACTTGCTGCCAAACTAGACACCAAACAAATTTTCCAATTTTGAGAGATTTTGGATTTTGGAATTGGAGGTAAGAAACTATAGACCTGTTTATACAATGGGCTCCCTAGTGCTCCCTCTCCACTCCAGCACTTACTCCAATGACCTCAGGGCCTGTTGCAGTGCCAGGCATGTGCCAGACATTCTTCTAGTTAGTTAAATAAATTACTGAAGCCACCGAGAAACTCGCAAGAGCAGCAAAATGTTCCTTCTAGTTCTACTGCTCAGACACAGCCTGGAGATCATTCCACTTCCAAACACAGCCAATGTTACTACGATTTTTCAACGAAAGGTGCTATCAGCTGTGACATGGTCATAAACAAACTCCATTAGCTCTCCTCCAGCCATCCAGGAAACCATTCCTTGATAACAACCTGGAAAGTCAGAAATCAGCCTCTCCTGTCACCCAGAAACCAGAGGAAGAGATACCAAATGGCCATCAATTCAGGAGCTGAATTGATTGCCACAGTTAAGCTGCAAGTGGACACATAGAGAGCCTGGCGTGGTAGAGGGTGGTGGCGAAGGGGTTGGGAGGGAAGATAAGAATGTACCAGATGTAAAGAGGATAAAGTTCCAGAAAATGCAACTAAATACACACCAGCCGAAGTTTGACATTAAAGTAATGAACAAAAGTCCCAACTGGCGGAAATTTGAACCATGGACAAAGCTCATTTGACACCTCCCCAAAGAGTCACTCGCACGGAGGCCACATGGGAAAAGCATAGTAGTAAAGGGGAAGGAGCCCACTGGCTTCCTGGGACAGATTTGTGGATGAACCGACATATGGGCATGAAAGGCTGGCCTTAGCATCTGGCCTTCTTTGACCCCAGCCTGCTCCACTTTCATTCCTACCACTGCCAGCCCAGGGCACTGGCACCCCTGAGGCTGAGGACTGCTGATCCAATACCCTAGAAGCTGTTCTCGCTTCCTCTCACTTCCTCTGGTACTTTGCTCAATGGTCAACTTCTCAATGAGGAAAGCTTGAGATTAAAATTGCACCCCCTTCTCTTGCCAGCACCCCACACCTTCCTCCTCTACATCATTTTTCTCCACAGCACTGAGCATCACTTACATATTTTTATTAGTATATCATCTTCCCACCTCTGAAATGCAAAATCCACTAAGGTAGGGGTTTTTACTTATTTATTTAGTTCACTGCTCCTATAAAAGTGCCTGACATAAATACTCTTAGGAATGAATTAAGTGGTTCACAAATACTCAGAATTGCAGATGACACAAGCTGGAAGGAACATTAACACTTTATAAGAGAAGGGTTAGAGAGGCCACTACCTCAGGACAGACTTCTAGTTAGCCTTGCTAGAGTTGCAAATATGTTGAGAAAAGCAAAAAGCAAGACTTTCCCATTCGGTCAAATTAACCCTTCCACACCTACAGAAGCTGACACGGGGCCAACATCAGTTAGCCCAACATCAGCAGAAGCATAGAAGATGAAATAATGGGGTGGAGTTCCAGGTTTCCTCAGCTCCCCACTGCTTAACTAATTGACTTGAAACTCCAGCTGGGTGACCCTACCCTCACTTCCCACCCCACACTCCCACCCCAGACATGCTTTCCCACCCCTCTCTCAGACTCTTCCAAACCCAGCCCTATAGAACCCAGAAGGAAGAAATCTAGTAGCTGGGAAGTGAAGGAAGGAGGGAGGGTGTTCAAAGAGTATCAGAGAGGAGGAGGCTGGCCACCTGGGCGAAGAAGCCCAGCAGCTTCTCTTTAGACTATGTGCCAACTGTTCCCTGAAAGCAAGACTCCTGAAACAGCTGCCCTTGCCACCTTCACTTTCAAAATTCCTTGGCAAGATTAAAAGGAGAGGCACCAGGCCACAGAGCTCCTCCAACCTTCTTACCTGGAAAACCTGGAGGTTTAGGGCGTCCGTGGTGGCGCAAGGGGTTAAGTACCACACTATGAAGCAATCCGCAGCCTCTGCAGCACGAGTTTGATCCCCGGCCAGAGAGCAACCCACATGGCAAGGCAGACCTCTCCTGACTCGCCCGCTGCTCCCCTCAGCAGTGTATTTCAGTCAGTCTGCCTGTTCTGTTCCCTGCTCTGTCTCTGGTGGTTCCCCTGCATCTCTGGCTTGTACCCCAGCTCTTGCATGCATAAATAAATAAATCTTAAAAAAAAAAAAAAAAAAGAGGGCCTTCCTGGTGGCTCAAAGGGTTAAGATGCAACCTATGAAGCTTACCTCAGCCACTGCAGCATGAGTTCGATCCCCGGGCCAGGGAGCTACCCACATGGTGCAGCAGACCTCTCCTGTCTCACCTGCTGCTCCCCTCTGTCTCCCGTGAATCCTTTCACCCCTCGTACCTCTGGCCTGTACCCCCGTTCTTGTATGCATCAATAAATAAATCTTTTTTTTTTAAAAAAAAAAAAAAAGAAAACCTGTAGGTTTAAAGACGTGGACACGGTTGAAGAACTGCCAGCCGCCAACTGGACAGCACCGATTAAGGGAATCATATAACGGAGAGGGGTGCTAGGGAGAGCCAGCACCCACAAGCCCACTGGCCAACTGCAGCCTCTGCATCCCCTTGCTGGGGATGCCCGGGTAGCGACAGAGCTGCTCGGGAGAAGCAAACTGGCAGTGCAGCGGGACAGGCAGGAGGATCTTGCAGAAAGGAGGAGGGACTGCACAAGGGTGGGCAGGGCGCAGGGGCCTCGGCGCAGGAAAGAAATGCGGGAGAAGAGCCGTGAAACAAACGCGCATTACCTTGCAGTCGGCGCTCGGGACCAGGGGGTGAGGTGCTTCCCGCCGCAAAGCAACAATAGACGTTCCAGAGGCACAGCAGGGGAACCGAGTTCCGCATCCTTTCCACCCACACCCCCTCCCGGGAACAGGAGTTTTAAAAAATGAAAACACTTTTCCAGGTCCCCAGCAATCCGAGTCGATAAGACCCCCCAGGTGAGAGCCTTCTTGCCACCAGAGGCCGGGGGTTTGGACAGCCTGAAGGTGGAAAAGGTGGAAAATAAAAATTTGGCTAAACTGAGCCGCGGGGCGGCGGGGAGACGCGTGAAGGCGCTCGAGGGGACCAGAGCTGCCCTCGCTGGCGTCGCGCGCCGGGGACCCGGGCTCGCCACCCTCACGGCCACACAAGAGCGTTCCCGGCCAAGGAGTTTTTTAAAGTATCCGAGTCATCTGACCCATCGCCAGATGGTAATTTACATAATTTATTCGACCCCAAGGACTCTGATTGGTCACACCTTCACTGACGCCGAACCCAGACTCCCCAAAGTTTGAATGAAAGCGCCGCACACCCTCCGCGTGGACTCGGCAGCCGGGTTCCTCCGGGTCGCCCCGCAGCAGGGACAGCGCTCGCCGCGCACACTCCCCCAAGCCCACCCCAGCACCCCAGAGCTCCTACCGCACTGGATACCCCAGGAGGGACATTGCCTGGAAACCCTGGGCGCGCTGGTGGCGCGATCCTGGAGAAGGAAACGCACCCTTTCCAAAGCGCAAAGACACTCCCGCCCCGGGAGTGAATCCAGGATTGCGGCTGTCCCGATGCGGCAAGAGTGGGCACCCCTTTAGTGCTCCTCGCGCAGCTCCCCTCCCGCTCAGCGAGGCCCTAACAGATGCAGGCGAAGTGATGGGACAATAATCCGGCAGAGCTGGGGGGCTGTGGGTGGCGCTCCCGGGTGTCGCATCGCTGGACTCTGGGGCGTCCTCGCTCCGCCACTCGCTGCAGAACTCGGCGCGAGCTCCTGCGAGGCTGTTCCCTCCTCGGCGACGCGCGGGGGGCGACAGTTTCTGCATTTGGGAAGTTGGGGGGAAATTAAAAGATAACAAGTAATCAAACGCTTTGTGCAGCGCCTGCCACGTGGCAGGTGCTTTCTTGCCTTGGGGGTGGGGGGCCAGAGGGAGCCCACGCGACACCCCCAAAGGGAAGAGTGAGCTGAACTCGGGATGGAAGATGCGTGGCCAGCAGTGAGCACCACGCGCTTAAGCACCTGTTGAGTGGCATGAAGCAGCTTCTTGCTCTTCCTCGTCATGTTTCCTTCCACACCTTCCCTTTATGGATCCACACCCCTGCTCGTCCCCGACACTCTGGCTCCCCTGGGCGATCCCAGGATCCAGGGCGACAAGAGCCAGCAGCCAGAGCGGATCCCTGGCAACAGCCGAGCGTCCCCCGCCCCCAGCACACACAAAGTGAGGTCAGCCTCGTCTCCACCGCCCCTGGGGATGCCGAGGGGGTGGGAGAGCTCCAACGCGTCGCAGCAGGGCGCCGCTATCCCCGCCTAGCTCTAGACAGCCAGATCTGGCTCTGCAAGGCTGCACCTTCGCCCGCCAGTAAGCCGCCCTCGCCGGGAACCAGCCCGGCTTGCGTCGGGACTGAGAGCTGCCCACGAAGTCCCTTGTTCCTTCTCCACCAGTGTCGGGGCCCCAACCTGGGAGATCTGCAGGAAACCAGTCCGGAGGAGCAGGCCCTGTTCCAACCTATCCTCTTGCTTTTGCTACTTCAGCTGCCAGCTGAGCAAGCTTTGTTGCTCTCATTTTCTGTAATACATTAGAAAGAGGGCAGCTAACTTTTTTTTGGGGGGGGAGTGTATAAAACTGAATGCATTTTACAAGGTGGTAAACAAAGCCCCTAAATATGTTGCTTCCGTTCCCCTCTTGCTCTCCCCCCTTGGCGAACTATAAAGACACAAATCAAGTGTTGCATCCATTTCACAGATGGGAAAACTGAATAACAGGTACAGGCTGCAGGTTTGAAGGAAGTTTTGACAATCAGGTTGCTCTCCTTTGCTCTGGCTTTGATTTGACCAGTTGCTCTCCAAATATGAACCCTTGGGAACCATGTCTCCCTCTTCAGTGGCTAAGGCAGTAGGTAAAGGAAGCTAAAATCCCTCTTCTCTGCTCTGAGTTGTACAACATTGTAATCCTTAAAACTAGCTGGACTACTGTATAGAGGGAATGTCTTGGGAAACTTTGTCACAAGTGACGTCCACTAGGCGTATAGGCGTTCCTGGAAAGTTAGTAATCCTGGTGGAGAAAAAGAAGGCAGACTCAACAAAATCACCACCCAGTTTTTCACTGCCAAGGCCATGAAATCATTTACATTTTTTTGTTGGTTGGTTAGAGTGCCCTCCTGTGTCTCTAAATTAAAATATCGTGTGAGAGCTCTCAAAGGACATAATGAAATTACAATCACAGCACTAAAGTAATGAATAACATTAACTTTGTTAAGCTTCATGCTTTGCAGAAGAACCAAGAGCAGACCTGGGGAGCCTCCCTTGTGGAGGAAGTCCCTGCCTAGGGAGTTTCAGCAGAATCTTCTATTTGTGTTACAATCAAAATTTCAAGGTCTCAGGCTACTCTAGTGAAGAACTCTGGGTCTTTTTTTTTTTTTTTTTTTTTTTGGCTGCCTAGTATCTGAAGACACCTTCTATGTCACAGGAATGAAGCCCCCTCTTTATGAAAGGTACCCACTTTCCATAAATGAAGCTGAAAAGCAAACATACAATTTTACAGCCTCCCTTGCAGTTGCAGTTCTTGATTTAAACTCTAAACTCAGTCAAACAATGAACTGGAAGCTCATGTGGCCAAAAGGCCAGAAGCCCATAGTCACTCACCCCATCAGTGGGACAGAGGCAGGGCCAGTCAGCTCTGGTTCTCTGGGGTAGCAGAGGGGTTGCTAACTGGCAGGTCTGCAGTGGGATTTGGGCATTACCCTGTCTGCCTGGATACTTCTTCAAACCTGCTCTTCTGCCCTGCACTTATTCTGCTTGCTACCAAATATTCAGTTAATGAGTTCTTCTGCATAAATAATCCAGCAATTGTATTGCTATAGCTAAGATTATATAATCACCAAATGTTTATTGAGCAACCACTAGGGGTACACAGTCGTTGGAGCACCCCAAGCAAAGCTCAGGAGGTTGTCCCTGTTCTCATAACACAATGTAGAAAGTTAACAGTGACACAGACTGCTATGTAGGAGTCACCAGATGTTTAAAACAGTGTTGTCCAATAGAAATATAATACAAGCCACATGTCTTAGTCAGCTCAAGCTGCTGTAAAAAAGTGCCATAGGGTGGGTGGCTCAAACACCAGAAATGTATTTTCTACAACTTGGAGACTAGATGTCCCAAAGCAGGATGCCAGTGTGGTCAGACACTGATGAGAGCCCTCTTCCTGGCTTGTAGGTAACCACCTTCTCACGGTGTCCTCACAAGGCAGGGAGAAAGAGCAAATTCTCTGCTATCTTTGCTTATAAACCCATCGCTAGGACCCCACCCTCATGATCTCATGTAAACCTCATTATTTTCCAAATGTCCCATCTCCAAATATCACCACATTGGGGACTAGGGCTTCAACATATGCATGTGTGGGAGGCAGGTCACAATTTAGCCCATAGCATCACATATGTAATTTCACATTTTTAATAGGCACATAAAAAGAAACATGAGAGATTAATTTTAATAACATAATTTAACATAATAGATCCAAAGTATTTTTTTAAGATTTATTTATTTATTTATTTATGCATACGAGAACTGGGGTACAGGCCAGAGATGCGGGGGGTGAGGGGATTCACCAGACAGTGGGGAACAGAACAGGCAGACTGACTGAAACACACTGCTGAGGGGAGCAGCAGGCGAGACAGGAGAGGTCTGCTGCACCACATACATTGCTCCCTGGCCAGCAGGGGATCAAACTCATGCTGCAGAGGCTGCAGTTTGCTTCATGGTGCGGTGCTTAACCCCTTGCGCCACCAGGGAGGCCCCCCCAAATATTATTTCAACATGTAGCACATATTTTTAAAGTTTTAATGAGATATTTTGCATTCTTATTTTGAAATCCAGTGTATATTTTACCTGATAGCACATGTCTAATTGGCTATAACCACATTTCGAGTGCTCAATAGCTACATATAGCTAGTGGCTACCATATTGGACAGCACAGACCTAGAAATACTAAACTAAAGCAAGTCTTACTTGCTTTACATTTCATGCAACCATCTTACTTTACAAATAATGAAACCAAGATCCAACCAGATTATTGACTTACTCACGGTCTCACAGCCGGTAAAAAGGCAGAGGCACAACACAAATCCAGGTTTCTGATTCCAAGATCAGTGCACATCTCTGTACAGAGAGAGGAAAGATGATAGAGAACTGACAGGACCCAAGTTAGTGAAAAACTTGGAATAAAGTCAGGCCATTGGTTCAAAAAAAACTAGCACAAAGGAGGCCCCTTCAATATTTTTTAAACAGATGCCATATGCCCAGAACTATGCTAAATGCTATAAGAAATGCAAAGGGAGCAAAGCAGCAGAGTAATTCTCTGTCTATCTATGTCTATGCAGGTGTCTCTTTTTTCTCTTTCCCTTTTCCTAATAAACCTGTCCTTTCAATATGTAAAAAAAAGAGAGAGAGAGAGAGAAAGAAAAAACAAATAGAAAGTGTAATTAAATTCACAGCTCACTCAGACTCTATTTTCCAAGTTCAGAGATGAGAAAAAATATAATTGAATAAAACTATTAGGAAAGACTATTGGATGGAGATGGAACTTGTTAAGACCTTAAAGAACAGAAAGGTCTTATGCCCCAACTCTTGGCTAGAACTTGGACCCCCTGAGTTATTGGGTATCAACATCTCCCACAAAGCAGCTGAGCAGAGGGAAGCCCAAACTGCCTTTAAAGAGTTCTCTGTGCATCCTTATTCCAATTCCTCCAATCTTATTGCTTCTGGAGCTCTGCCACTTTATTCATACATCAGGGTCACCAGTGGCCTCCACACCCCCCAGTCATCCTCAGCTTTCCTATTACCCCACCATAGTCTCCCCCTCTTTGAACAACACTTGCTCTTACCTCTCGCTCACTGGTCCCTCCTCTTCAGTATCCTTTGTCAAATGACTTCGGGTTGTAGGAGTGTCTGGGGTTCCCTCTGTGGACCTCTTCTTTTTTTTTGTTTCATCTGAACTCACTCCCTTGATAATCTCATCCACTCTCATGCCTTCAAAGTCATCTCTATGCAATTCTCATATATGTGTCTCCAAACTGAATCTCCTGCCTGAACTTCAGACTTGTTCATTACTTTAGATGCTTCACAGGCATCTCGAATTTA